ATATAAATATTTCACAGCAATTATAACACCGTGATAATATCGTTCACCAAGATTATCTATACGATACTGAATTGCAATGAAATAGTTGGAGATTGAGTATTACTTAACTCTCGTTCCGACAGAACAGCTACATGACAATAGAATTTTAGTTGTATAATAGTTCTTTGTTCGATTCTGTTAGTTAATCTATATCACGTATTACCATTAGTACTGGTTACAAATCTAGATCAGTAGAGTTATAAGAAGAACAGCAATGAAATATAGATGCTTAGAGTTATCATTTATTGATGGCATAACGTTTTTCAATATTTTTTCTGCCGACATTTTTTCAGCACAACAATTAACCCTATGATGTTGATCTATTAGAATTGATTTTGAGTTAATTGCGAAAATAATTTATGAAGGTGCTGATTATGACACTGATATTATTCAATTTGAACAAAGTCACGTTAGTGTGGCGTTGTAGAATGTGTCATAAATAAATCATTCATTTTAAATGATTTAAAAGTTGAATTTATAGGTAATTTGAGTTATTTTTGGCAGTTTAATTGTTATTTTATCAATATTAAGTTTGAACCTTATTTGTCATTGATGACTTTTTTCTTTGAAAAATGAGTCCTCGCCGAAGATGACACATATGGTTACACATATGGAACGATGACTATTTTTTGGATTGAAAACAACTCTTTCATGTTCAGAATTTCGTCATCATTCTATTTTTATAACCGTTTATCGATAAGAAATGTTTTTAAAATGATCACAGAATGCTTATTGACTGGTTATTAGTTTTAATACAATTTTTAGCGCAAAGATCATACTCTTGATGAGTGTATATTCTAAACAAAATAATTCTAAAAACATCATTTTTCATGTTACTGATTACTAATGGATCAAAAACGTCTCTAATTATTATGAAAAATACAGGTTTCATATCTGTAATCAAGAAATATTCAAAAAAAACTCTGGAAATGGGTTGTGTTCTTATTTGTACGTGTATATAAATCTAAAAAAAACATCAAAATAATTAGCCTGTTTAAATAAATAAACAGTTTTTTTCACTTTTATGAAGGAACACCTTTTTTCTACTCATCAATCTTAAGCAATGAATGGTGGAGAGAGCTTTAATTTTTTTTACGCATTCGTAGCTTATTAAAGACTCCAGAAAATTGTCGATAGTCATCTCGACGCAACGCAGGTTCTATGCCTTTGTCAAAAATGAGTCAACAGGAAGTAAAGAGTTAATGATAGTTGATACAAAAAAAGGAAAAAATGCTCCCTTTTAAAAGGTTTTAATTAGATCTAGGAAAAAATAATAGCCGTATAATTTAGCAAATAATGTTACATACATTTTTAATTGAATATGTTTTAGATGAACCTAAAATTAGAAATGAAAGAAAAAACTCCTCATTTCAATTGTTTCTAATTTTGCTATAAATTCCTATTAATATCGTCTATTGCGCATTTCAAAATAAAAGGCAGGTTGCCATTTTTCGAATAACTTTTGATGGAAATAAGATACAGAGGTGCAATTTTCACCATTCGAAAGAGCGATGTCTGGGCCATCGATTTGTATAATATTCATTGGGACGAAAGATGCTTTTTCATAGAAAACATTTAATTGACAGTTTTTTTCTTGTGTATTTTCATTAATTTTCACGATAATCCCTTTCAAATTACGCCAAAATGTAGCTGACATCACCATTTTTTTTTACTAGAAAATTACCACATGTTTCATTATCCACGTTGATCTCTTTTTTCAGATGGATTTCGACAAAATGATGATAAATTTATAGTGAAAAAAGGGTGATTTCAGCTACATTTTGGTGTAATTTGAGAAGAAATTATCGTGAAAATTAATGAAAATACACAACAAAAAAAATGTCAATCAAATGTTTTCTATGAAAAAGCATCTTTCGTCCCAATGAATATTACACAAATCGATGACCCAAACATCGCTCTTTCGGATGGTGAAAACCGCATCTCTGTATCTCATTCCTATCAGAAGTTATTCGAAAAATGACAACCCGCCTTTTATTTTGAAATGCGCAATAGAATGAACAATAACACAGAATGAAGTCATAATAATTTGATAGAAAACTAATTCAGTAGTTTTACTCATTATCTGACTCATCATCGACTAGAATTAATACTGTAAAATACGCAATGATATGTTGATAGTCCAGACGAATAATACTATTATATTAATATTCTCATTCAATTACTATAATTATATTAAACAGCTAACATCCTTGTACTATATGATGTGACATGTTTTTCGATTTCTTCTAGAAAAACTCATCTTCACGTACAGTGGGTAAATATTTCTTTGAGAAAACGAATAATATTGAAGATCATATATCATCAAATGTGTTTTCAATTATTGATCGATTATATGTTCTATAATTAAGTTGATCTTGTTCTCTTTTACAAATTCACAAACGGATACAAATATATATTATCGTTATTATTTTTTTGTTAACAAAGTATATTTATATATTTAATTAACTTTCAATATAGAAGCACGTTGATCATTTTTAAATGACTATGTTTTATTTCTCAAAGTGTAAACTCTGATGATCATATAAAATAGAAATATGAATCGTTCTATATAAATTCTAATCCTTAGATTATGTTCATAAGTCCATCAATAATTGTATTAGTATTTTTAGAAAAGAAATTTCACCTTCAATCATTTTTATATCAGATTATATAAATCGAAAAAAAAATTTATTTATTTATTTTTAAGTTATTGTTCTCAACATTCATGGCGTCGACGACGTTCAACAAAAATCGATAAAAAATCCATATTTTATTCACCTGATCAACCAAATAGAGGACATCGTCGTCACCGTCGTACACATAGCAGTAAACCAAATAAAGGAACTATCGGTTCATCGCCATCATCAATAAATTCTTCGAATAAAAAAGTTCATCATCGTCGAAAACGAAGACGACGGACAAAACGTTCAAAATCTCATAAACGTTCAAGTTCAGTTAAACTTTCATCAGAAACAACCAATCTTAATTCAAACGGTGAACAAATACCTTTATCAGCAACATCAGATATTCAATCAGTTAGTGACAATGATATTCTCGTTGATAATGATGATGATGACGATGATGATGATGATGATGATGATTCAGTGGAAGTTATTGGTAATCAATTAGCTGAAATGAATTGTCAAGATGAACAACAACAATGTGATGATTCAGATTCATTAGATGACGCTTTAGATGCTGAACATTGTGATGATGATAATGGAAATAATTTAATTTAAAGTTAATATTACAAGGAATATTTAATAATAAAATCAATCAATTATGATAGTTATTTTTTTTTGTTGAATAATAGTCTCGATGAATAGGTATCTTCATTAGTTGTTGCTGCTTGTCTACTTATCTTATTATTTTATTTTTTTGTATATTTATATTAATCAAATAATCCTTTTATTTATGCCTTTACCTTTTAATATAGATTCTTATTTCTTATAATAAAACGTATAAATCGCTTTGGTTAATATATGAAAATCTAAGGATGAATGTGGACTCGGATAGTCCTTTTTTCCATTGTAAAAACGTATTTGTCTAGAAAAAAGAATAAATCGTTCCGAATCATTTTTGATATTTTTAGCATCAAAGAATGTTTATTAAAGAAAAAACATCTTCTTGTTTGAATGGACCATCAAAGAAAAGAGAATCTTTCAAAGACTTCTTAGTTCAAATAGATTATAGATAAGAAAATAGATAAAAAGCAAGACTTCTATTATTAATTAACATAGTATTCATAATTTTTTACTCCTGTTTTTAACAAATCATCTTGATTTCATATAATGGATAATCAAAATCTATTACAAAAAGAGAAAAACCAATCTTCTAATGGCAATACTGAAGAACACTTCATTTCTTTTATTGAATTTATTATCTATATCTCTTGAGACTTCTATTTTCCTTTTGTTACATATTTTTTCTTTCTCTTTCTTCTTTTTTTTTTTTTTTTGGTAAATTAGATTGTCTAATTTAGAACCATAAACAAATGGTCGAAGGGATTTTTCTTACTTCGTCATTGTGATCACATGTTATTGTTTATCAGAACTTTTTCAAGTGTCTTTCTTCAAGAAAATTTTCTTGTTATTTAATTATATCAATAACGAACATATTTACGAACGAGATAGTTAGCATGATAGAGTAGAATGGATATTTTCCTATTGCTAGCAATATTTCACATTATCTAATCAGTCTGCTAGAATGTTGTTGAAGGCTATAGGAAGTAATAGAGAAGGGAGAAAAAAATTTGCTTTTCTTTTCGGTACATTCATACACATAATAAACATTCCCGAAAGCACAACATATACGTCTTATCATAATACTATATAAAAACTAAAAAAATATTATTATTATTATTCTTTTTTGTTGAAGTTAGGTAAGATGCCATGTGAATGTTGAATATGACGTTCTAAAAATATACATTATCTTTTAAGTAGATCTTATTAGTAAAATTGAAGAATATGCCATATAGTATTTCAATAGTTTTTTCTCTGTCGACTTTCATTTCGTATGAAAGCAAAAAATAGCTCAAGTTCGAAAGATCATAAAAGAAGTAAAAAAAAAAAAGAAAAGAAAAGAAGATACTTCTGTTTTTTCTCTTGCATTTGTTTGATATGCAAAATATATTTGCATTTTCCTTTTTTATATTCCATTTTGACCTTACACACAATAAGTCTTGTTGATTATTGACGTCAGAAAAATAAATGTATCATATGCTTGATATTACTAGTATTTAGATTATAGTTGAATGTATGCCATGAGCAAATAATCTCCGAGTTTGTTATTTTATGTCAACTTCCTTAAATCTCATAAGAAAAGACATAGAAGAGTTAGTTAGTCCAATTATAAGAACATTTTTTTTAATTCCTATATGCAATCATTTATTGTAAAAGTTCTCTTGTCTTAATATTATAGAGGCACGAAATAAGAAAGTAGAAAGAAAGGGAAAAAAAGACATGGCAACAAGAACACCTTTACAACACACAACAGCATCTAATATATTTGGTCAAACGTCAAATAAACCGGAATTTAGCTTGTATGTATGCTTCAAGAATTGTCTGTTTGTTGACATTGATGAATTCTCTTTTTTTTTTGCTTTGCCTATAATAACCCATAACATATTGTGCAAGTTACAATCTTTTAATCTCTTTTTTTTCCATTCTTTTATATCTCTTGAGTCAGTTCCTAGGACTATCAAAGATACTATCAAACAATTATTTTGACAAACACTAATAGCAAAGCATTATATTCGACAGAAGAAATAGTTGTCTATCTTGCCTCGTTGACTTTTTTTTTCTTCTTTTTCTTTTTTTTTTTTTCTACTCTTCTATTCCATCAACAACACACAACATCAAGCATTCTTTTCTTCGTATTTATTTTAAACACAGTTCGATGCATACCACTATTACACCCATTTATAATTGCATTTGTTGTTGTTAGTTTGCTACTAAATACAGTAGAAGGAGAAATTATTGATTTAATTATCATTCTTTTTACCTTTTTATACTTCGTTTTATTGAGACACTTCAGTGATATCATCAAAGTTATTTTTTTGAACTACAATTAAATAACTATGCAAATCTATAGCAGGTAATTTATATGCTTTAACATATAATCACAAACAAACCGCATTATAAAACGTATTCATTAATGGTTAAAGTTTATCGATTTTGGTTTTTCAAAACGTTTTCTTTTAGGAAAAGTAGTTGCGGTGACTTACAAAGTCGACTTAAAGTTCGAAAAGTGTTAGGTGTTGGTGATGCGGCAGGTTCAATATGTAGTTCAAAAATCGGGCAAATACTTGGACAATCGGATAATTTAGTTTTTAAATTATCACCTAACCTTGCCTCATGGCTATTTTTAATAGCAACATTATTTAGTTGTTTTACTGTAATGGTAATGAAATAAAAAAAAAGGTTTAATTTTCTAAATGAAAAAAAAATTTATTACGCTTAGGGAATACTTTGGCCAGCTTGTTTGCGTGTTATTTTACCTGGTAGTCTTGAGTCAACCATACATTTGGCCACATCTTATGCTTGTATGTCACATAATTAATTATTTATATTTTTCTTTAATTTGAAATTTATAGTTTTGGCAACAGTGCTCGGTCTAACACTTCGATCAGGTGACAAGACATCATTGCAACTTGTCCTTTGTTCTCTTGTTTTATTTCATGCGTTATCCTTTTTTAGTAAGTTCTTTTTTTTGTATTCATTGAAAACCTTCGACGATATTAATTCATTATGAATCATATATAGTTGCTTTGTGGCTTCTGAAAACCAGTGATACAAAAGTAAAATCAACAATCTCAAGTATTCTTCATTTATTTTGTTTATTAATAAATACACATTTTTATCGATCTATTAATCGAACTGTATCAACATCATTTCGACATAGTAAATTAAAAACATATTTTAGTTCAATGATATCATTTCCATCAGCACCTGTAACTGATCGTACTACTGGACATGAATCTTCTTAAAAGAAATAAAAAAGGAACAAATAATATTTGTATATATAATTATTATTGATGTATTTCAAAATAAATTTGAAAAAAGTTCTTTATTCTAAAATATAATTATCCTAGATGACTATTACGCTTATTTCAATTTGTTATTATAACCTAGATTGAACTTGTATTTTGCGTTCGTTTTCTCTCATGCTTAATGACGAAGAGCCCGTAAGATATATTATATATACTTTCAAAAAAGAAAATTGTCAAATTATGATTGACTGAAGAGACCCTCTAGTCTATAGAATAATTTTGGGTAAAATGTAAAAAAACCCATTTAATGCTAAAAATAGACGAACAAAAAGAAAATGTTCTCATTTATTTAATTGAACTTGACAGACTTGGTCTCTTCTTTTTTAAAAGAAATAAAACAAAAGAACTAAATTGAATTGACAAGAATATTTTTTACGCTTGAGAAAAAATCTCGATGTATTGTGTGCCCATGAATAAGAAAATATAATATATTTATCGAGATTTCCGTGTACAATAAAATCCTTGGGGTATAAAACAAAAGTTATAGATTTTTTCGTTATTAGCAATTCTTTGAATGATATTTAAATAAAGTGATGATCTGCATCTGTAATGTAATTGAAAATAAAATGGCTAAACATTATTTATTGACGACAATGAACAAAGAAGTATTGGAAGTTGTCTTTTTTTATCATTTTAGAAGAGTATGGGAGATAATCTAAATAGGACTTGATTTTATAAAAATGATATAAATGAATATGATAGATTTTGAGTTTGAGTCGTTTTTATACTTTTGTTTATATTATTAAATGGTATGATTTTCAGTCTATGCAAATATAAATAGAGTTCATTTGAAACTTTGTCTAAAATTTATTTAAACATGGCATTCGATCAAAATTATAGAGTCGTATTTTTTAATGATAGCTTTGAAATCTTTTTCTCTTCATTATTTTATAAATGACATGATAAGATAGAAAACAAAAGAAGTTATTCTATCGAATGATTTCCCATTTTCACATGTCAGGAACCATATTATATACAGACGGAAACTCGTTCTAAAAAGTTCTTTGTCTTTTCGGTTTATTTTTAAACAACAAAGTGAATATCTCTTTTTTTTTAATTTTATTAGTAAATCATTACAACCATTGAAAAGCCTTTTGTGAAGAAATACGATAAGAATATTTTATAAATTTTATATAAAATAATATTCAATTTACTTTCGTTAAATATATTATTACATATTAACTTTATAAAAGCTTTTAGAAATTTATATCCTATGTGATACTCTAAATTATACTAGAACAAACAGATTAATAATTTATCGTACCGATAGATGTGTCATACAAATCGAAATACAGTTGAACTGTTATCTATGCTAAAAATCCAATCAGTTTATATTATTATCGAGATAACCCTCGCTGACTCGGTTATCATTGAGTACTCTTGATCTCATGATACATTATCTTCAATATAGCATGACTTACGTTCGATAATTTTCTAATTATATATATAGCGTGATCATCGTCAGATATATATAGCTGTGTTCACAGCATTGCGTGATTCAACGCATTCATGCACCAACACATCTAGATACTCACATATTTTCTTTTTTCTTGAATTTTTTTTTGCATCTCCTTCGCCTTCCGTTCCTTGATGTTTATGTCTTGACTTTTTCTTAGAAAATTATTATAATCAATGCTAATAGATCCTGAATTAAATGCATACAAAAGAAATTGTAACTATGATTAAGTGCTAAAAAAAGATATCTAGTTTTGAATTTGTAAATTAATTTTTTTCTATAATTTTATAAACGATTCCTAAGAATCATATACAAAAATTTGTATTTTTGTTTTACATAAAATGTTGAACTATAATAACAATAAATCAAGCACATATATGGCTATAGATAAAGAACCAAAGAATTTAATTTTCATTTATGTTTTTCTGTTATACGAACGCAATTGTACTAACTAGAAGTTAAAAGAAAAATCAGGCACAACAATGAAATGATAAAGAAATAAAACACCCAAAAAAAAAATAATTAATAGCAAAACAAAAAAAAAATAATAAGACAATGTTTCACACGAGCACAACAATAAACGGATAAAAGAAACAGTTTTTTTCTTTGTAATAGTATTATTCATTCAAATAAACAATATATTTAATAGATAATTGTGAATTATTTGATGAATGTTCAAGATAAAATGTGCGCATCTTCCAATTTGATGATGACATTTCAGAAATTTTATTTTTTTCTAATGAATAAATTGATGATGAATCTTCTTGTTGAATGCCTTGTTTAATTAATAATCTTAAAGGAATTTCAATTGAACCAAGAAGACCTAAGAATAATTGAATAATAAAACAAAAAAGATTTCAAATCAATGTTAATAATCTTACGATCTTTTGTAAATTTAGATCGATTATAGATAGAACATTTAATAATATCATTATTTATATCACAAATAAAAAATCGAAATAAAACATTCCATTGTAAATTCAATGTATCACAAAGAACAGGTGTTGTTTGACGTTGATATTCATTCATTTCGATTATACAATACGGATTATGACCTAAATATATTATTCTTTTTATTTTCAATCGAAAATAGAAGTATAAGACCAATCAAAAATCTGTTTGTAATTTTTATATATCGCTTCGAGATCGAAATGAATAACAAAAAAAATCATCATTTGATTTCAACTCTAGTTAAGTATTTATGAAGATGTTCATAGAATAATGTTCATAAGAGAAATTTCAATAATCATGATAGTACGGAGCCTTGAAGGATTAGTCATAACCAAATTTCGGGAATTAAGTAGTCCGTTTAGATAATCTCAAACTTGATCCATCGACAGAATTTGGAAGTAACATTTTGTCTTCTGAGCCATACGTTGTAATCCTTGAGTTAAAGTCATGAAGTCACTTATATTTCTAAGAGTTTGTTTAATGGATATGTCATCACGATATAATCCATTAAAATCTTTCTATTTATGTCTGAGTCAAGTGATCAAGTTGACATATAAATAGCTCATTTCATCATTTTTTTTTCTTTCTTTTGTCTCTCTCCCATGGTCTTTATCATTGAAATTGGTTGCAGAAAGCTATTTCCTATCTTTTGTTGCTGCAGTCTAGATCAGTGATCCAACAAGTATGATTCAAGATACTCAATTCAATCATTCAGCTAACTGCTACATAGGAGTGTCTCGAAGTAGTCAAATTCAGAAGAGGATGGATGATTTATGAGGAAGGTAATACCTAAAAAGGAAGAACATTTTCTAAACCATCAAACGAAAAAAAAACGAAATTTACCGAGATTGAGGGTTGACTCTACCTCACCCACTCGACGCACTCCTGAGAGAGTAGATCATGAATCACTCATAGATTGAAACAAAAAAAAATTCTAGTATCTTGTCTTCAAAAAACTGTTTACTATAGTAGTTCATTATTCAGATTTTTCTTTTTCAAATCAATTCGCGAAATGATTTCAGACATTTTAAATATCTACTTAGAAGTACGAGTTGACGCAATCAGCTTGACCTCATAGTTCAGATGAAAATTCTAAAACTGTTTGTGTCTTTGAGTCTTTCTTCTTGAGTTAGTCATTCTATTAAATTTTCAGCATTTTATAAGACATTTAAAAAAAAACAATAGCAATAAAGTGTTGTATTGGAAAATTCTTCCAAGAATAAATCTCATGACACTTATTATATTCTGGAAGTTTCAGCTCAAACAGATGAGTTTCTATTAAGTTTCAGGATATAATAAACACCATGAGATCTGTTGTAGGACAAAAAAAAACTTCAGACAGAAATTCTTTATTGCAGTTTTTTCGTAGTATCTCCCAACGTACAAAAAATTCAATAAAATGAACACAACTAGACACGAACTGTTTTAGAGTTTTCATGTAAAATATGATTTCTAATTATGAGCTCAAACAAAGGATATCATTCCACCAAAAGCTTTACTTAGCAAGATTCGATCATATTTTCCAAACTAACCATTCTTTTGTAATGATATTAATGGTAAATCAGTCGCATTAATTTCTCGAATAAATATTTTTCCCATCGGTTGATGAGCCGTCGAATTCAAATCTAAACATGCCAATCAAAAGCATATAAATTAAACAATAATAATTTACTTGATTCTGGTGCACGGAGCATTGAAGTAATTAAACGTTGTCGACGACAAATATGTATTGCATCATTAATATTTTTTATCCATAAAAGTCTAAATAAAAAAAAAAAAAGTTCAATAAATTCAAACTTAATTGAAACATTAGGAAGACAAGATAAATCAACCTCCTAGCAATGTTTTCTGAGTTACACTAACGGGTCTGTCCAAAGCCATCATGATATACAAACCAAACAATCTTCGTCTCTTGCCTGAACGTGAGGGATCGAGACATGTTCTTGAAGTAGAGCTGGTTGGGTTGGTTCCAGACCTGGGTCCTGGCTCGAAAACTATGGATCTGATAGGCTCTACGGTATACATTTTCAGACGATTTGTTTGAGACATGTATAGGGTGCACTAGCCATGGGATACAAAAATTCCGTTCGATCGGACTAAATCCGAACAAGTTATGGATACTGATAAAGAACCAGAGCAAAACACCTATTACCGGCCTCGCCACCTATCCTAGTAACATGGAGATAATGGCACGATGCTGTAATAGCAAATTTAGTAGCAAGATTAATTAGAATCAACAATGACAATGTCAAGTGAAGATCAGTACATGAAACGTAACGTTGCGTACTGGAAATGAGCTGAAACTAAGAGAAGATCAGTTGGATGCTCACAAATAACTTGACGAAAATATATCGAGCACTTCTATGACAAACGTTCAAAACTTTGATGTAATGATGTGGAAATCGTAGTACAAGATTGAATTTAATGAAAGAAGGTACTAAACAAGCTTGAATCTCGATCCGCAAGAAATATAAGAAAGAAAATGAATGAATGAATGAATGATTGAAATATTATTTACCTTTCATTGATATTATTTGTAAAGAAAACCATTTGATGACCATGATAATCAAATTGAAAAGCTAATGAATTATTTTCTACTATTCCAACATTGCGTATGTCATGTAACATGATAGGCTAAATACATAAAAAGAAAGAATTCTTCGTATTTATTTTTCTTCTCGTTGTATTTTAATAAAGATTTACTTTTTTATAAACAATTAAATAAAGATGATCAGCTTCAGATGAATCAAACCAATCGATATTTGTTTGCTTTATTGATGGTCTATAAATATATTGATTTTGTTGTTGTCGATGATTATATGTCGTACGATTAATAATTTGAAGAATTTTTGTTATTAATGGTCGTTTTATACGAGTTAAAAGTAAAAAATCATTAAATAACATTGCATATAAAAGATTATTTGTTGATTTTGACTATAATGAAAACTAAATAAATCAGAAAAAAATTTGCTAATGAAAAAATAATTTATACCAATCTTATATGACTATAATGTAATAATTTTCTCTGTTCACCAAAATGAGTTAATGAATTAAATATGATTGTCTAAAAAGAATAGAAGAAAAAAAAAAAAAACTTTAAAAATGAAAAATTTTTGTTTTTTTAAGTTCGACTTCATTAATTTTTGTACAATCAACATGTTTTTGTAACCATTCAAATTTTGTTCGATTTATTTCTTCATCAATAGCATTATTTATTGTTTCACGTAATTCATTTGCTTTTTTTAATGAATTATGTAATTGATTATAATCATGATAATTATTTGATGTATTTTTTAAAATCTATTAAAATATAAAATAAGTTTAATTTTCTTTTATATTAATTATTAATACTTGATAAATCATAAATGGATATTTAGCTATACGTTGTAATGGTAATGTTAAAATATTTGCATCACCTAGTGTACCTATTCCGTAACTTTGTTGTTTTGTTTTCTAATAGAAACAAAAAAAAAGTAAATAAACAAAATCTAGATTGATGATAAGAAATAATTAAATATTAATATAACCTGCATAAAAGCACGAAATTTTGAAGATATATTAAAGTGTTCACGAAAACATTTCATTGCAGTTGGATGAAAACGAAAATAAATTTCATATTCAGTAACTAACTGAGGAATCTATTTAAGAAAAAAAGATATTATAACACAATTCCTGTAGGATTTAAATGTGAAACACGATGTTTCTTATCATATAGAGATTCTTTAATTCCATCTATTTTCGAACACTTTTCTTCCACATTCTCTTACTTAATTCTACAGACATGCAATAAGAAAGCAGTTCATATGGTATAATCAAATGTCTTTGATATACGGTCTGTAATGGTCTCTGAACTGTAATCAGTTGGAACATACTTTATTGAGATGCTATATTTCTCTAATAAAATTTGTTGAGAGCAAGTTTGCTTATTCTTATAACAATAATCAAATAGTGTTGTTGAAGGAACTACGACATAATTTTTGTTGTATTCTGTTCAGTCACATTTTCTTATTTCTTTGATCGAAGTATTTTTCATTTTCTTGAGAATCAAAATTGTATTACTTGAGCTACATTTTTATCATATATTTTGGTAAAGACTAAATATAGATTTGAATCGTCGTTAGGAGAGAAACTTTAGGGTAGTATGAAAAAGTTAAGTTACTCTCTTTTGCGCGCTATATATAAAAATATCATGTAATCAGTTTTGAAAATATAACAGATACAAAGAAGTATAGTGCAATATTTGTCCTTAGAGATTCGTAAAAACTTGAGTACAACAAAAATGAAAATGAATGTTTTTTGAAGTTCCTTCCAGTTACCGATTAATGATGATCCAACAAACCGATCGGTTTTTGTCGCTCTTAAAAAGTTTTTTATGAACTGGAAGAATTCTTTAACGGTTACAACTCTGCATTGTATATCAACAATATCTATCATGTCCTGTGAGAGAGAGGAAGCAAACCTTTTAGACCGTGTTTCACAGAATAAAAATAAAAAATTTGATTTCACTTACAAATTCACATAAAATTCGTCCAATAGATATTTGCTCGCCTTCAGTTTTCAAAGAAGTTAATAATGCACTATATAAATTAGTTTGTAAAACTATAAAATAAAAGTATGACAGTTAGTCTTACTTAGCAATTTTTTCATGAGTACGTGTTAAACTTGGCCAATTAAGAAAAAGTGCATCAATATGAGATGATGATAAAATATTACTTTCCAACATTGGTGTTATATATGTCTAAAAAATTCGGTAGAAATCTCTTTATTTTATTATATTGGTAAATGAAATATCAAAAGAGTCAAATAGAATTTCGATTGGATGTGGTTGCAAATAGCTCGGAAAAAGCTCATTAAGATCGAAGGAACAAAAAAAATTAGGCAAGCATTTCGGTTCGATATCCTGCAAACAAAAAAAAGCAAAGTATTCTAGTGTATGTGAATATTATTAAACAGGATTCAGTATGAGAGACACATCATAAAAGTTTTATTTACTAGCATCTAATAAATAAAATGTAAAGTAAATGAATTTTTTGAACTCATATTATTTTGTTCTCTCTATGCTCATTGACTGCGGCATTGTTCAAACTCCCATTATCATCATAAAACCTATTGTGTGGATACATGGATAGTGTTGTCTATATCATCTTGTACATACATATGTTAAATAATCTGAGATCTTATCCCAGTTAGTTTAGGCTCACTATGAAATGATATCATTTTCCTCAAAGTTTCCGAAATGCATTCCGCTTTTTTTGTTTGTTTCAATCAATTATTATTTATTACAAGCTAACAAATATTAATATTTACGATTTAATGCTTCAAGTTCAAACAATGCAAATGACAAATGTTTTCCTACAACAATCCAGTTTCAATGTAATAATAGTTTTCGGATGAAATCAATTTTTTAGAATTACTATTAAAAATCTTTTTGAATTCAAAAAGTGTTCTCTATCGTTTTGAAGTTCCCTTTGAATATTTATTCTTCATAGCAGTTTCAAAAGAGCGATTGATAAAATAATCTTATACATAAGCAATTGATCTTCTTCATATATCAATGGTCTGTTCAGACCGATCTATTGTCTTACTTTTAGTTCACAATGATTTTGGTTATTCAAGTTCTACACACTATATATCACTAAAGATCATTGGCTTGTCAATGGTTCAGTTTTGAGCAAACTTTCTGCATAAAGTAGAGCTCAGTGTGATGTGACAGATCCCAAAAGGATAAGTGATTTTTCTCCAAAGTTTCAAACAATTTACTAAGGCCTGCTTGTGATTAAGATTGTTCCAAAAAAGTCCATCTCAAAGAAATATTTCTGTCAGAAAATACTATATTTCTGAAGAACACGAGAGTTTCTGAATCTTTTATGAAATATGAGTGATTTTTGAAGATTTAATATGTTATGAAAAGAACACTCCTATGAACGAAAGTTTCAGAACATTCCAGTCACAAAAAGGTCGATGTATCGTCATTCGATTAGTAAGCATATACTGTAGTATAGACTCAAATTTCAGTGAGTTGTTTACCGCTTTGGAGAAATGGCACTTATTATTTTGGTTTGTTCTGTACCACACTGAGGTCCATCTTATACATATGAGTAAAATTTATATTTTATCGATCGATTTGAAAGTAAACGCACATGAATAAGCATAAAAACATGCTCTAGAAAAGTAACTTGCTATACTTTATATTAAATAGATTTTGAAAAGTCAATTTTCTTGTCGGCTTAGCGAAAGATTATTTTTTCCGTATACGAACTGATGTTGGAAACATTGAAGAGACACTCGAAAACTAAAAGCTCAAATAATGATTATCTATGAACAAGGTCAGAATTAAAATGATTATGAAAGAAAAAAAAGATTACGATAGACCGCACACATTTTGAAGTAGATGATAGATTACTTTTAAAATATTTTTCATATCATTTACGAATCGTTGTTCTGATGTAATTAATTCGATAATTGTAATATTTCTTGGTGTTAAATTAATAAGATTTTTCAATGATTCGGAGTAATCTTGTTCATTTTTGGTATTTTCATACATTAATTTTTCTTCGTCAATTAATTCTGTTTTATTTAATTGAGAAGAATTTTCTTCTTAATTACAAAAATGAACAAAAAAATTTAAAATAAATCAAAACTTTTTTCAAGAAAAAAAAACAGAACAAAATTTACTTCGAAATATATATTCTTGCCTAATACAATGAATATTTAATGTACGATATAAAATTGATGATGATGAATTTTGATTTAATGTTGTTAAATCATCACATAAAGTTTCATCATTTATCATTGATTGAAATGAGTGTGATGATAGATGTGTACTAATCATCATTTTAAAAAGATCTTTTCTGATAAATAATGAAAAATTATATGAAATCCTCATTTAAGTCGCGCTTATAGATGTCGCTAATTGTATTCAATAATATATATTTTTGTCGATATTTTATTTATGGAAAAAATTAAGTCATAAAGAAAAACGCATAAAATTTTGTTTCGATATAAACAAATAAATTATTTCATAAAATACAATCGTCCCTCACTAAAATTTGAAATTTCAATGGTTAATAATTAACAAATGAATAATTTATATTCGTGGTATATAGTTTACCGTTTTCTCAGATAACGTTGTTCAACTCTGAGTTTCTTTGTGTGTTCGACAAACAAATATTGTCAACTTTAAGACAATTATATAAAATCGAAGTATCTTATTTTAGTTTTTCTTTTTTTATTCAAAAAAATTTTTTTTGAATTTATCTAAATTTATTAATATAAATGTTTGACTTGGAATATGACAAGAAATAAATTCGAGATGGAAAATTATCGATTGTCTTCATATTTTATTTCTAGAATATTCTTATAATACATGTGTATATAATTTTTCATTATTTTATAGATAAATATCAATGCAACCACCATGTGCTCTTTGTAGTACATTGTTACCAATATTGGAGAAATGTAAATATAAATAATTACTTTTTTATTAATTAGAAATAATTCTATTTTTAAATGTAGATTCATCATTGGAATTAATTGAAGCAATTGATCTCCAAAAGGATGATATTTGCACGTTTGTTTCATTTGTTAGTAATTGGCCTCAAACGTAGGTTATCAATCATAACAGAGTTTCTCTTATATAGAAACAAATGATTTTGATATTATTTGAATAAAAACCTAGAGGATACAATTTAGTTATACATTGAGACGAAGAATTCAATTAGATTAGAAAAATTGAGATATATTTTTTGACATTGAATTACGATGCATACGTTATTACATAAGTACTATACATTATACATGCACTGTTTCCAACCAGTAGTACAAGTTATTTATCCTGCTGATAAGAAACTTATGCAATACGATGAGAGTTATATACCATTACTCCAAATCGGTAGTTTATCCAGAAAAATTTATAGTGTTAATATCAATTCTGGATATGATAGCGTAGACAGCTGCGTTATCTTTACATGAATCAGAGTGAGGACAAGTACTTTGAGTAAAATTCAGATATTTTCATTATAGCTCTGTTATTTGAAACAAGACTATGTTATGTTCAAGTACATCAGCTACTTGTAATTTTAAGAACTATTTGCATATTTTCTTCAAGTAAATGTCTATAGAGTGAAAGCATTGGAAAAGGTCATTTTGCAACGGCGGACGACAACCAATAAAATGACCTTATTAATTTCACCTTTCATACCAGAGGTCAAGATGTTATAGAGAAGGCACATCACGAACCAATCCTAGCTTTGACATGGATCATGTTATTCTTTGTATCTTCGTTTTTATCTGCTCTGATTATATAACATGACGCACTAGCGAAGATCAATTAGTTAGTATATTCAAGCATGTTCAGAAAGTGATAGAACTTAGTTTAAAAACGGTGTGGTAGCTTGTTATTTTTAAGTAAAGAGTAACTCAAAGTTCATCGGGCAATTTTTTTTACTTACGAATAACTTTTAATAGAAACTATTATTTTTTTGTAAAGATTTTTGAAAAAAGAAGATTAAACAAAATGATATATTCAGATTTTAAAGTCCTATGCAAACTTCCAAAAATTTTGGTTTTTCAAAAAACCTATCAAGAAACTTTGTATTTGTTTGTCTCAATATGCATTCTTTTAGTCGATGTGCATGTTTATGTCGTGATGCAACAACAATAGAACGTTTTTCCTCTCTTGTTGAATGGTTATTATTATATATAATAAATTTATTACAAATATTTACAGTATCTGATAATTTAAATGATGAAGATTATTCAAATCAATTAAATGAATCAGATACATCAACACAAATATGTAGTATATTAACAACAACAGATCAAGAACAACAACGTCAATATCGTCAATGGACATTAGAAGAAAAAGAACGTTTATTATTATGTGTAGCTCGTTGTTTTACACTTAATTTACCAATATATTCAGCTGCACATCGTAATCCATCATTAGCACATCATGTTGCTTATTATCAAATGCAACATGCATCAGCTGATTTTAAAACATTTTTATCATCATATTGTCATTTCAATTTATCATCAAATCATACCAATGGAAATAATGATTCTCATCATGTATCACTTTATTTATATAGACATATATGTTCATTTTGTGAAAATCGTGGTTTAATTGTTATACGACAAGTATTTGAATCAGCTAAAAATACTCGAATGTTACCATTATCAATAGCACATGCATTATTTGTTATTTTGACTAATTTACGTCATCATTTAAATATAGGTAAATATTTGAACATGAAATCAAACAAATTGTTTGAGATTCTCATTGAAGTAACAAAAGAAATCTTCCAAATAATTAATCACTGTTAAATCCAGAATATTTGTATCATGTACAGTTCATAAACTAATGAATTAGGAAAAACGTAAATATAGTTGGAAGAAAACATAAACGTGAGGAAAAATACCTGAAAATGACAAAAATAAGAACCAAAGAAAATAATACATATCTGTATACTCAGAGGAAAAATTGATTTTCGAACTTTGATTTGCAACTTTGCACGAAGACAAACGTTGATATATATCAGTGATGTCATTGACACGCTTGTACTATAGTTGTATCTTCAGATAGAAACAACGAAATGATCTTCAAATATCAAAAGACACTATTCTTGTTAAGTATTGTCTGTATGCAAAGTTTCAAGTTAAAATTCGAAAAGCATTTTTTTCTGAGAGATACTACGGCATTTATTTAAAGATGTACGCAGTCTTTTCTCAAATACAATGTATCAGTTGAGAAATTTTCCTCACAAGGATCAAGCTTTTCTTCCTGATGCAGCTATTGACTAAATTAAAAAAATACAACAATCTGATCAGAATATATGTATATAAACGTAATTCTAGGTATCACTGCTAAACGCAGAAGCAATCTTCAGACTATATTTCATAACTTGTGTCTACAATAATGTTTGAAATTTTTCGGTTTCTTTCAAATTTTGTTGTATTCATCAAGCCTTTCTTGACAATGTTGAACAACATAGATCAACAGAGCTATCCTATGCTCTTATCCATCTTCGTACGCTTCTATGTTTTCTTTTATTCAATAAGCAACGTGAAATCATTTGTTCAGTGTTCTTCTATAGCACAACATGCGCTCCATTACGACTACCGCAATGTAACAGAAGCATGTATTAAAATACGAGACAGTTATGTTCTGATAATTGTCAAAAAGATTCTTCATTTACATTATTAATATGACTGAAACTTTTCTATTTATATAGATATTATAAAAAATTTTCTATTACCAATTCGTCCACATGCAATACGTTATATGTGTTTATTATCTGATAATGAATTACGTTTATGTGGACAAAAAAATACGAATGATTTATTATATGCATCATTAAAAGATTTATTTTTAACAACAACATTTCGACAACGTTCAACATCATCAACAAATGTTTTATCACCATATAATACTAAACATCATCATACAATACAATTTCAACGTTATCATTTTGATCGTTTAATGTTAACATTAGCATTAAAATATTTAACATGTTCAACATTAACAATACGTTTAACTGGTTTATCACATATAACAAATCAAATACAACAATGTCTTGATTATACACAATATCGTCGTCATCAATCAATGGCAGCAGCTGCTGCAGCAGCATCATGTTGTTCTCATCCAAATACAACACAAGAAATATTTACTGTTAGTGAATCAGATGGTGAAGATGATACAACACAAAAATTAACTAATGATGCATCATCATCAACAAGTTCAACTGATGATAATGATGAATATTCATCACATAATCATCATGAACGTAAATTAGCTAATTGGATTATTGAAAATAAAATAATTGATTATTTATTTGGACCTAATTTACATACAGAATTACTTAAACAATGTTTAACTATATTAATTTTTTTAGCATCAAATAATCGTTTAACTGTTGAACATATTGATTTAATATGGTCATGTGTATCATTAACACATTGTAGTCGACATATATTAGATTTATTAATGAATTTAGGACAAAAAAATTTAAATATACATTTACTTAATCATTTATTACAATTAATTGGACGTAGTGATCGTACACAATATACTGAATCAACATTAACATTAATAAGTATATTAACAAAATCTTACTGGAGTCAATTAATACGTTCATCAAATACACTTATACATAATAAAAAACAACAAGAATTAACAATGAAACAAAAATTTCGTCAACGAAATTCATTAAATATGCAAAATATTTTACGAAAACAAAAAACTTTAAAACGACAACAATTATCACCATTAAAAAGAATTGATAGAACAAAAAATGTTGCAATGATTCGACATCGAGGTTAATTTTGTTTTTCAATGATTTATTTTTTAAACGAAAACGGAGCATTAGTATAATACTACATCTTATTAGAAATAGGCACTGTTCTGAGTTATTTTTTTGTGTATGAGCCAATCCTTAATTTAGGATTGTTATGAATATTATTTAGTAATTTTCATTAATCATTTTTTTGAATAACTGAACCTAAGATTTTGTTAAGGTGATAGTGCACTTAGTGAAATTAGTATAAGATTCAATTCATATTAGATAAATTTTATAGGAGTTCTTCATGAAGATCTTAATTGATTTATTCGGCCAAAACTCATATATATCCTCAATAGAGAAATTTTGATGAATCGTTTCGATTTTTCTCGTGGTATTATGCACTAAGCTGAAAGTTCAATAAAATGACCTTAACACGAAAATAACAGTCTTATCGTACGAACTCTTTCAAGTTTTTTCCACACTATGAGCTCAAATGGAGATCATTAGTCGAATTGATTTCCTCATGAAAAAGTGTTTCGTTCAATCCATTAGTATGCTTTTATGAATTTAGTCATTTGAATATTTGATTTTAGCACGAATACAACAGAAAAATACTCACTTAATTCGTCAAACATCTCCTTCATCTCCTCCAACAATGCCACGTCCAATTGCTGTTAAAAAACAACCCTTACAACAACAACAACAGCAACAACAACAACAGCAACAGCAACAACAATCAGTTAAAGCCGGTCCTATTGATGAAGATTCAGCTGAAGAAGTTATTGTTGTTGGTTCACCTCCACAACAAGTCTTAACTGATCAAAATGCTCTTAAATTAATGGCTAATAAATGTAAAGAATTTCCATCACAAAATATTCTTAAATCAAATCCATCATCTGGTTATGTTCTACAGTCAGAAAAAAAATCTGATGATACAACAAATACAAATGCTCCTGGTGATGATTGGAGTGATGATGAAGACGATGAAGATGATGATGATAATAATGATGAACAATTACGTAATACAACAGCAGCTGTACGACGAACAACACCATTCAATCGAACAGGTTTAACTATTAAAAGAAATTTTCTTATGTTTATTTTTGTTTCAATATTTTTAGCTGAACCAACATCAAGTAATGATGAAGAAGATGATGATGAATCAGATAATGAAACACATTTAATTTCACGAGAAGTATTAATGGTAAAAACATTAACTTAAATTTTGAAAACTAAAGAAAAATACTACTTTTCTTTTTAGCAACATCGTGAACGATTTCAACATGGAACATCGGCTAATCAAGAAGAATCGGATGATGATGAAACAATGGGAAATATGAATCAAAATTTAAGTCAGGTAATGAAAGACTTAAATTCCTTATTCAAAAAAGACAAAAAACAAAAACAACGATTTCTTTCATATAGATGTATAAACCTGAAGATTTATCAACACCAACAAAACGTCCAACATCAGGTTCAGGTTTTATTATAAATAATCCGAAAACACTTGTTCTACCTGATGATCAAATGGATATTGATGACGATGATGATGATCAAAATGAAATATTTGAAGAAGATCTTCGTGGAATGGTTTTACCAACTGTTGTACAATCATCTTTAAAACAACAAATTAATCGTAAAAATAAACAACAACAACCACAACAACAACAACAAATTGTTAAAGAAAATCGTCAACATCAAAATGATGAAGAAAATAATACAGATCATGAAATAAATTCATCTAGAAAAAAATATCAAGAAAAAGTAAAATTATTATTAATATTTTGAAAATAAAATATTATTGAATTTTTCTTATATTTAGATTTGTTCACCAGAAAGTGCTGAAGATGCATCACAAGCTGGTTCACTTCCATCAGAAATGGAAACAGAAATTTATGATTGTAGAGATACTATTGGACAGAAGAAAAAACGGTAAAAACATAGAGAACTAGTTCAAACATGATTGGATTAATTTAACATATTTTATTTTTCATATTGTTTGTTTGAAATGAATTTTTTATTACTCGGATATTTCGCAAACAAAACGAGATAAACTAATTCGAGTAGACTATGTTTGGTCATCAAAAATTTTATAATATGTACTGAATAAGAGAGGAGTAGACGCATTTTTTATGGATATAACAATGGTCGTGTACATTTGATTTTAACGCCTGTCGTTTATAAAATACGAATTATTTTGTGACAGGGAACATCTAAGGTAACAAATTTGAATGATTCACTTGCAAATATCAACTGTCTTTCCTCTCTATACAATACTAATTTCATCAAAGAATTGTTTTTTTTTCGAACATTTCAAATGTTTTCCTATGAAGAAAATATTTAATTTATTCTTTCTAGTCCTCGTCCTAATATTGATGATGGTGATGACGATGACGATGATGATGAAGAAGAAGAAGAAGAAGAAGGTGATTTTAATTCATCAGTATCTGATGTACTTAGTGGAACAGGTTCAGCAAAAAATATGGCTGATTTTGAAGATATGAGTGAATCTGAACAACAACCAACATCAGCACGTCGTATGCGTATAAATCATCAATTATCTGATATAACATCATCAACACCAACTGATCAACAAACTCGAAAACGGCAAGATAATGAAACAAATCTTGGTAGTAATCATACATCATCATCATCATCAACAACATCATCAACTGAATCAACAAATGGTTCAAGTACAGCTGGTAATATTGACGAAGATGAAATAAATATATCAAATTTATCTTTACCTGGTCAAACACTTCTATGGGATTTATTACAAGATCAACCAATAAATAATTCATCTCATTTACCAGATAATTTACTTAATGAAACTGAACGTTTATTTAGTCAAGTACTTGGTTCAATTGAAGATAAACGTATATTATTACATTTTATACAAGCATGTTTAGATAATTTAAAAAAATCAACATCAAGTTTAATATCATTACGTTTATTACCTAAATTATTTTTAATATTTCAACAACATCAACAACGTGCTAATACAAATATATTTTTATTATTTGAAGAAAAATATCATGTATTAAATGCATTTTTTAATGATTTAGAACAATTAACAAAACGTTTACAAACAAATACATCATTAATATCTATACATAATGAAATAACAGTACGTTTTCAATTTTTATCATTTATTTTTTCAATATCAGCATCACCAAAAGAATTTAGTGAGTAACAAAAAAAAACACACAACACAAGATTTTTTTGTCATTTGAATAATTGTTTTTTTTTTAATGTAAATAGATTTAACACAACATCAAGCTGATAGATTATGGGATTGTTTAACAACAATGACCGGTACAACAGGAACTAACCGTGAAGAACTTTATAATTGGTTATTAAGTCAACTGAAAAATCGTGATGGTGGACATGCACTTTCATTAGATACATTTAAACATTTACTTACAGAAAAGGTATTAACATACAGTTTTTTTTTTATTTATCAAAACATTCATCAACAAAGCTCGAAAAATATAATTTTGTTCTACTATTGTCAGTTCTTTGAATATATCCTTTTGGAAATTACATGATTGATTGTGTCTATATTTAGTAATACTCAAAATTAATTTCATATTCAATAGATGATTTTCATTTTTCTACTATTTAAGCAGAGACTTGATATATATTGTGGTTTACTTAACCTTTTACCTATGATAGGACGTAAAAGGACATAGTGTTATTTAAAAAATAACCTATGAAGAACGAAAACAATTAAAGCAAACTACCTTGCCATGCAAGAATATATAGATCATCGAAAAATGAGTTGCTTGAGATATGTAGAGCAGAACAGATTTAAATAAACATGATAGAAACTAACACATAAATCATTTTTCATAGTTTATCTGTACTAATGAGAGAGCTACTCGAGATGTCCACTTCCGTTTTGATTCATTAGATTGAATATATTGAGATAAGAAAAAGCGTGATAAAATTCGAGTGTATAGCACACTGCTGAGGAGTTAAGGGCAATTTACTTAGAACCAAGTATTTCCAAAAAAAAAAACAAAACAAAGAATTTTGACCTGGATTTTTGCCTATAGACAGATTTCATTACTATTAGGATGACCTCGAAAGTTTCATTAAAAATGAACATAACTTTCTCTAGGTGTTTGATTTTCGAAAAACGCAGTTGTTGATTGTAAGACGACATAATAATGCATTTTACTTGAAAATAAATTATTTCGAGAAAGACATATTCGTTTTTATTGAAACATACAGGAGTATCTAATGACTATTAACTTGATCTTAAGATGGTGTCCTTAACTCCTCCGTAGTGTACTATGGTATCGAAAACTTTTTGGCTTTTCTTATCTCGATATACTCTATCAAATGAGTCAAGATGGAACCAGGTACATTGGGTACTGCCTCCATCAACATCATTGCTTTTCTATACATCTCAAAATTAATCATAAATATCATGTAAAAGTTATGACCAAGTTTCATAATTAAAAAAAAACTACATATCGTGTTATGTCGACAATGAAAAGCATTTTGTTTTTCTTTTACAATATCCAATAAACAAAATTCTCTATTGAATAGTTAACTTCCGAATTCATCCCATTCGATGATTTCTCAGTTCATTCATGATTAGCCATTTAATGAATTCATATTCGAATGATCATCAGTTCAGAAGAATCAATATAATAACTCAGTTTAAACCCAATCAAATATCAGCGATCATTAAAACAGCTTAATTTATTTTATTGTATATATATATATATATATATAACGTGTCTACATGTTATGATAACTTGTGTATTTATCTGCTTACGTACCGAGTAATCATCTAAAGTGACTACAGTGTGTCAGATTGATCTCAGATCCGAACTATTTTACTCTGATGGATTCTAAATGAGACCACCCCTATTGAATATATATGATCAATATTTGATTGTTATTTTCCGTCTTATCATAAAATCATTTGACTCAGACTTGTATACATCTTTTTATTCCTTTAGCTTTTAACACAAAAACCTGAACATGTCTGTTGTCAACAATTAAATTTAATTCAAGAAATTCTTCAACAAAGTCGTACAAATTGGGTACATATACTTCAACAACAACAAGCATCATCATCATCAGCAACAACAACAAATTTAACACAACAATATAATGATTTTCAAACATTTGAATTTCTAATATTAAATTATGTTAGTGATGTTGCTATGCGTGCATTAGATCAAAATGTAAGTACATTAGCAGCACAGACATTAAATAGTTATCAAATACAAAATGAAGATGGTACACTTGATCGTGAAGAACCATTTATAGCACGTTGTATGAATTGTTTAAATGAATGTATAAATACACTCGATGATTTATCATCATTACGTACAATTAATCGTATATCAGTTTTATTACGTACACATTTAGAATTATTTATGCGTCGATATTCATATGTTATACGTCTTTATCAATATATATCACAAACAAATAATAATAATAATAATATATTTTCACCATCATCACTTAAACCACATGTAAAACAGTTAACATTAACAGATGAACGTGATACAAGTATGCTTAAATTAATATGTAATGCACCAATAACAAGTGGTGGTACAGAAAAATATGTATTAAAAATGAATCCAAATGAATTTATTGGTGATTTACGAGCAGAATTAACACGTTGGTATTGTACATTAAAACCTCCAATGACAAATGTTTTAACACAAACATTATTAACAATTGAAAAAAATGATTTACCTTTATTAAATTCAACAAGTTCATCAGCAGCATCGATATCAACAACATTATCATCATCATCATCATCATTTGATCTTCTTCATATGTCAAATTTACCATCAATACGTGTTTTAGCTAATGGACAAGAACTTGATCGAGATATTGATGAAAAAACATTAAGTGAATGTAATATAAAAGATAATCAAACAATATTAGTAAATGCATCAACAAGAAATCGTACAAAAGATTTATATAATATTGATGAACGTCTTTTAAAAAGTTATATACCATATAAAATGCCAATGATGTTATTATTAAAATATATTGAACAATTTTTTTCAATACTTGCACAATTACAAAATTTTATTGAAACATCATCAGAAGTAAAAAAAAAAAATTTTGTTCGTATTTTTGAAAAGTTTAGTCAATTGTTGAACGTTATATTGTGACAGCGAATAAAGTCTTGATGAGATTAAGAAAAGTTTTAATGGATTCAGACCTGTAACCGTTTTAATGAAATTTTATTTATAAGCACTAGATAGTCTTGAAAGTTTCAAGAAAAATGACATGTATTTATCAAGATATTTGGTTTCGGAATAGATTCAAGTATTGTATTCTTCTATGGTAAACTACTCTTTTCTTTTTTGAAATATTGATTTCTTCAAGAAAGACATGTTCGTTTTGTATGGAACTTTCAAAACTATCCAGTACCTATACACTAGGGATCTGCAAAATCGCTTTTTTTAGTTCCGGTTCCGACCAAATATTTTTTTTTAGTCCCGAGCCCGGTCCCGGTTCCGGTCCAATTTTTTCCAGTCCGGTCCCGGTCCCGGTCCCGGTCTTTGACAATGGCTTCATTTCTAAAATCGAGCAACTTTTATAAAGGAATGATCAAAGAATGAACGAATTAAATTTACGTATTTAGTGCTGGTTGTTTTATATGTATTCAAAAATCTGTGCAATTGGAAAATTCGGATTCTTGCAAACAGACTCGTAATCAGTAAAGACTTTTATAGAAATAGCAAATAAAAATATCTAATTTACAGATCTTTAATGATGTCAAAATAATAAACGTGAAAATATATTGCATAAAAAACTGATCGGGACCAGTATGAAAAATTTTTAGCTCCGGCCCCGGTCCCGTAAAAGTCAAAGTTTAGTGCCGGTCCCACTTTGCAGTTCCTTACTATACACAGAACTTTAAGTCGAAACTCATCATGTTGAGGCTTCTAGGATATACTCTGCCATCAATAAAGAATTTTATTCATAATCATAGTAATATGAAGTCAAACGGTGTGTCCAACAATAGAAGGATATTGATAGCCCAGTTTTAGTTCAAGCATTGTGAAAGTAATCGAAGTAGAGATCTATAAGAATTTAACACTAATATAACATCGAAGCTAGAAAATAAATAAATTACACCATCGATTAATTAATTGTGTATGAAGATCAGTTCGATTTCTTCTAATGCAAGATAAACACAAACATTTTTTAAGACTTGAGAAGAAAAACATCCTTTTCTATCTATTAGTTCACTGTTTTCTATGAGCATCAAAATCTCTTCTTAGTGTAATCTATTGTTTAAATCTGTAACTAGATATGAGCGAGAGTATTAGTTTTCGGTCTCGATAGAACCGAGGCCATCTTGCCTATATCTTTTTACAACACATGAGTCATAGGAATACGACATTTAACCCAAGTTCTACAGGAATCAATTAACTACTTTACAGAAAGAATAGCAAATGTTTTCATACTGAATAAAATCTAAGAACACTTTTTCTTAACATCATTTTCCAAAAAAAAGATATATGATTTTAAACTAACTTCCTATATTCTATATAATTATTTTAGCATACTGAAGCACGTTTGGCTGTTAGTCGTTTATGGGATATACTTTTACTTATTCCAACACATAGTGGTATATTTCAAAATTTATCACAATTAAGTGAATTTAATGATAATGAAGATAATACTGAACAATGGGCAAATTGTTTACAACGTTCTGATCCATTTCGTTTAACATATTCATTACAAATAATTGATATGCTTATACGACGTACGCCAACATATAAAGATATATTTGTTAATAAAGGTGGTTTAAAATATCTTTATAATATATTTATTTCAAAATCATTTTTTACTGAACCAATTGATCGTTCATGGTGTTCAGGATTACCTGATGCACTTCTATATACACTTAAAATACTTTGTTCGTGTTTATTAAAAATTCCTACACCATCTATTCAATCTTCTGGTCAACAACCACAACCACAACCACAGCCACAACAACAACAACAACAACCTCCACCACCATCATCAGCACCACCGGCAACAATACCAACAGCTGTTGATGAACAACATTCACCTCGTACACCAGTTAATACAAGAAAAAAAGTAAATTTTCGATTTAATTGATTATTTACAAAAAATTATCTTTCCATTTTTACATTATAGACTCGACGTGAAACAACAACACCAGCTATAATTGCTGCATTATCATCAGTAGATTTAACAAATATTGATAATACATCATCAATACCAATTGTTCATCAACAATCACATTTTCATATATATGAACCACATTGGGAAAATGTTGCATTAACAGATAAAGAAATTTTATTAGATACATTAATTGATATACAATTATCAATTGTGACAAAAAGTACACGTTTATGTTGTCCTGTTGTTTTATTACAATTTAGTAATCGTACGGATTTACTACATACATCAATGACATTATTTATAACATTATGTCATTCATATGATGACATACGTACAAAATTTATTGAACATCCAAAATTAAGTTTATGGTTAAAAACATTATTACTTGATGCATATGATTCTTTACTTAAACGTGAAGCTCAATTAAATATTTATCGATTATGCTTGGTTTCAAGTAATAGTAATAATAGTAATAATAGTAATAATTCTTCAGGTATAATATATAAAATCTTAAATTTCGATAATAGACGAGTAAAAAAAGCTAAGAATTGTTTTTGTATAAGAATTTTTTTTACAAAGAATTTGAATCTATATTTATTTCAAGAAGAACAAAAATCTATCTTTTCTCGTACGTAGAATAATGTCGAAACTTTGATTCTAAAAATAAATTATGATATTTATTATTGAATCTCATTTAATTCAAATTGAACTAGAATCTAAACAGGATACTTTTGAAAAACTCTAAAACGAAAGATTAAATGATGCACCAGAAGATTTTTCTAATCCTCTATAAGTTCTTTTTCTATGGTGCTAAATATCATTCGAGTGAATTGTTTTGTTGAGCGGACATCTTAAAAATGTTCCAATGAACTAGCGAGAGAAGTCTTCCTACCAATAAATCGCTTTTAAGTGAAGACTATAATACATTTTTACGGTATTTTTTTATATGAATGTCGTGATTCCTCTCAGGAAAACTAATTTTCGAATTCCGACTTGAAACTTTGCACAGATACAGCTCTAAGCTTTCCACTCAAAATTCACAAAAACCAGTTTTCATGAGGGGGGGACCACGGCATTCATTTAAAAACTACAGTATGTATATATCAATAAGCTACGGGAACGAACTAATGTACGTAGTCTCGAATCAAAAGCGATTTATCAGTTGCCAGTTCGTTTTTGGGATAAACGTTTTTTAGTCGAAAAAAGTTGATTTTTCAATACTGAAGATTTAAGAAAAATAAAAAAATTATAGTCCTTCATTGAAAAACAAGAAATGGTAACATAGTAAGTTTTGTAAGCTAGTTTCTATTCTATGAAATAATCTATTCATAAACGTTCCAAACGATTTTTTTCCGAAGTTTATTTCATTAATCTGAAACAAAAACTAAGTTGAAGTTTCTACGCTTACATTCAAAAAGTACATCGAATTCTCGTTCTAACTCATAAATATCTAAACATCTTTTTCTTGATCATTCTAGGAACTAATGATGACTTGAATCTTCAACCCATAACTGATTTTCCTCCACCACCTCCTATGCCAACACAACGTAGTTGTCCAATTGATGAAGAAAAAGCAGCTCATACATTAACAATCTCATCTTCAATTGAATCAACAAATGAACCACCCGTCGAACGTATTTGTCTTGTACCAATACTTACAAATCTTCTTGAATTAATTTCATATGCTTTAAAATTTACATCTTCATCATCCAACTCCTGTTCATTATCTCAAACAAATTTTGAAATAAATCCAACATATTCATTACAAACATTAAATATATCATCAACATTAATAACAAAATATGATAATCATTCATTATTTCTTAATCAATCTTCACATGAATATTTTCTTTTATTAACATCAATTATTGATCGTATGCATTATGATGAAATAAAACAAATAAAAATTCATAAAAATAAATTATGTAATATAAATCAAACAAATCATATTATATTATTTGATCATGAATTAATTGAAATTTTAATCAATTTTATTCATGAACATATACCATATGAAACACAACGTGATAAATTAATTGAAGATGAAGTTTTATATGGTTTACTTTGTTTATTAACATCTATTGTCAAACAATATAATAATTTATATATTAAACAAATTAATATTAATAATAATCAATTATATAAACAATTAACATTTAATTTAATTGATCGTGTATTTAAATATTTATTTGAATTACCAACAAGTGAAAATCGTTTTGTACCAAAATGTAAATCATTATTAACACGTGCTAAATCATATGAATTTCTTAATGAATTAATTAAAGTTAATCGTGAAAATTTTATACAATTACAAAAAAAACTTCTTGAACAACATAATTCAATTGATCGTCAACAACCATATATATGGGATTATTGGCCACGTGATGATGGACGTTCATATTCTGGTTATGTTGGTTTAACAAATTTAGGTGCAACATGTTATGCTGCAACAAGTTTACAACATTTATATATGATACCTGAATTACGTACAGCTATATTAAATACAAATAAAACTGATAAACATGATTTAATACTTTATGAATTAAAACGTATGTTTGCTTATTTACTTGAAAGTGAACGTCGTTCATATAATCCAAAAAGTTTTTGTAAAGTTTATACAATGGATGGTTTACAATCATTAAATACAGGTGATCAAAAAGATATGACTGAATTTTTTACAGATTTAATAACTAAATTAGAAGAAATGTCCGATGATTTAAAACAACTTGTACGTGATTTATTTTGTGGTATTTTAACTAATATTGTTATTTCATTTGATTGTCCACATATATCAAGAAAATTAGAAGAATTTTATACTGTACGTTGTCAAGTTGCTGATATGAAAGATGTACATGAATCATTAGCTGAATTAACAGTTAAAGATACATTAGAAGGTGATAATATGTATACATGTTCAAAATGTTCGAAAAAAGTTCGTGCTGAAAAACGTGTATGTTTTAGAAAATTACCAAAAATTTTATGTTTAAATACAATGAGATATACATTTAATATGGTTACAATGCAACGTGAAAAAGTTAATACACTTTTTCAATTTCCTATGCAATTAGATATGAGTGGTTATATGGAAACAAATTTAATTGATAGAAATAAATTAATTGGTAACGATTATCCAGATAATGATGATGAGAAAGATAATGAAAGGTATGAAAATGATCTACAAAAAAAACCGAGTGCTAAAGTATATAAAGTAGAAATTTGCGACTCCTTCCTTTCGTGGAAGAGCGTCATCGACACCTTGACCACACACATATTCTTCATGTTAAAGTCAAGTAAAGCGATGCTGAAGAAATATATCCCAACGTGGATAGAACAAAAACCTATCTCATTGTAGTTAGTAAGAGTAACTATATTGGTCGTAGCTTAAACTTTGAGAGAATTTCTATTGACTATAAGATTTATCTATGGGCTAAGATTTATGTTCTTAGCAATTCTATACTGTTAAAATCAAAATTCGATAAAAATAAACGAAGATTCGAGAACTAGACTAAAGCTGAACTTTTTACTAATCATTACGACTGATCGAATGGTTATAGTTGCAAAACGAAAAATGATTTGACAGTAGAGAATATTTCTTTGTCAGCTGGTGATGTTAAATCTGTCATCAAAGTAATATTAGGATATTTTTTCTTCGACAGAATAATTCTTAGTCTTGATATTATTTCATGAAATGATCTATTCAGTTCAATATCCATCGATTGTCAATTTTCTCATTTCACTCGAAAAGTTTTCTTAGAATTGAATGTCATATAAATTGAATTGAGTAAACTTCTACATATTAACTTTATTATATCTAAAAATTCTATGAATATAATTGTTCTTGTAAAAATATTCTAAAATCAAACAACTATCACATAACTTATCTTAACATATATGAATTTATTTTTCTTTGTTTAGTACAAATAAATATCTACCATCTTCTCCATCAAATGGTAATGAATCACATTTATTTGAATTAATTGGTGTTACAGTTCATACGGGTACAGCTGAAGGTGGTCATTATTATTCATTTATACGTGAACGTGTTAAACGTCCAATTGATAATAATTTTTCAACAAATTCTGATATACTATTAGATAATCAACAACAATGTCAACAACATCGTTGGTATTTATTTAATGATGCTGAAGTTAAACAATTTGATCCATCACAAATAGCTAATGAATGTTTTGGTGGTGAAATAACATCAAAAGGTTATGATCAAGGTTCAGATCGTTTTCTTGATTTTCAATTTGAAAAAACTCATTCAGCTTATATGTTATTTTATGAACGTATTGATACACCATCATCATCAATGTCAACAGCAACAACAACAACAACAAATATACCAACATTACAATTAAAAGATCCCATATCATATACAATACCAAAAGATATATCAGATTGGATATGGGAAGATAATCGACGTTTTGTACGTGATAGACATTTATTTGATCATCATTATTTTACATTTATGTGGACACTTTGTCATCATCAAGTACCATTAAATACATTAACAATAAAACAAGATGAACAACAAGAACAAATCGATAAAAATTTATCAACAACAGAATCATATGATATGTTACCAATACAATTAGCAATAACATTTGTTTTTGAAACTTATATACATGCAAAAGATAAACCAACAATGACTGGTTGGGTTGAATATTTATGTAAACAATTTACAGCTTGTAAACCAGTTGCTGTTTGGTTTCTTGCACATATGACACAAGATGATACATGGTTAACGAAAGTTCTTGTTCGTTGTCCAAATCATACTATACGTCATATGTTTGCACGTGTTCTTATTGATGTTTTACATAAAAGTCGATTTCGGTGAGTGAAAATTGAAATAATCGTTTTTCGGTTGTTAGAAAGTTTTCTGTATCAATTAGACTAACTGATATATTGAGATTAGAAGTTTGTAAAGTGATCATGCAGAAATTGAAAAGTTTTTATGAAAGTTTTGCAAAAAAAAAGAAAATTTTTTCAACTTATTGATACACTGTAGTCAGTTTTTATGACTCATGCCTTTGACCTGTTATCGTTTGAGTCAGATATTCTATTTAAGATAGAATCTTATCAAATGATAAAATGCTTTTGAGATGAGTCTTACCTTATTAGTTAGAACCAATTGATATAAGAGAAACTTTTCAAGGCGATGTATCTTTTTCTTAAGAGTAAGTTTTTCTAACAAACTTCTCGAATGTTTCAACAGATTACTTTTCAAAATTAATGTTTTGACTCTAAGTCTTGCACAAAGAAACTTTTCTATTCGACTTGGTTTATGATAATTACATTGGATTTTCTAATATATATTCTATTCTAAAACATAAGATCAAAATTTTCAATACTAGCATACAATATTAGCAAATCGAATATATCATCAACACAGTCCAATTCCAAACTTTTTGTGTGTAACATTTGAAGTCAAAAGTTGATTTTGACGAATAATCTGATGAAGAATTCGATCGCTTTGTTAAAAAAAACTTACTATGAAGTAGAAACACAAAATTTCTTGAAAATATTTTCTCTTATATCAATACAATCTAGTTAATACATTAAAACTCAAGAACTTCCACCTACACACATCCTGGGATTTCGCTATTAGTGAACATCCTATTGGCGGAATTCCGACCATCTAATTTTTTGCTTTGTTATCTTCAGTGACAAGTACACCTAAGACATTTTTCAAATCATCAGAACCCTTCGGATCCGACGAACTCTACTGAAAAAAATTTTTTTTTTGAGCAAATCTATAATTTTATATAAAAACTTGATTTATTATTTTCTTTTTAATTTTCTAGTGATTCTTCAAATGAAGATTCTCTTGTTGTTCAACAATTTATTCGTAAATATTTATCAATAATAAGTGAAGGTGGTGCACGTTTATCCATACGTTATATGTCAGAATATTTTGTTTTTCTTCATGATTTTGCTCGTAATGGTATTGATGAATGTTATTTATTACTTGATTGTTCATGTATACAACAATTAATAACATTTTATATGTTACATCGTGGTCGACAACCTAAACAATCATCATCAAATAATAATAATAATAATAATAACAATAATGATGATGGAAATACAAGTTCTGATGATGAAAATCAATCAAGTACTAATTTATTAATGACAACAAATGCTATTGATGATGATATAATACCATTAAATACAATACGTTTACCAACGAATAGTAATTTAAGTCGTCCAGGTATATTTGAAAAAATGTTTCCATTAATAGCTTTATTATTAGAAACTGAACGTACACGTTCAAATCTTGAAAATTTTGATTTACATTTATTTATTGAAAATGATTTTGCTTTTATTCAACAACAAATTCTTGATAATATTAATTTAAAAGCAACAGCACATATTATACAATTAATATGTTATAAAAATGATGTATATGCCAATAAAATAGTTAATCTTTTATCACAATGGATAACAAATTATAAAAATGATATGAATAGTGTACAATCATTATTTAAAGTTTTAACTTATTTAATTGAACAAAATTCAAATAATACCACTAATGATAATACAAATGATCAACAACAACAACAGCAAATATCATTAACAATGAATCCTGATAAAAATTGGTGTGATTTTGCATCATTAATTGTTATACGTATTGGAAAATTAATTGATATATGTCCAACACAAGTATTTGAATGGTTTAATAATGTTGTTAATAAATCATCAATTATACATCGATGGATATATCATAATATACGACAATGGTTAAAACCATATTTATTATATAATACATATACGAAAGTACGTACATTAATAGCACAATTAATGGTTGCACTTGTACCATCAACAATATTTCGACAAACATATAGAACAGGAAAATATTTTTTAAATTTATCTAAACAACAATTAGCATCAGCAGCACAAACAACAACAACTACAACACATGGAACAATTACATCATTATTAACATTTAATCAACAAGTAAAATATAACAATAAGAATTTGATATAAATTATTGATTTCTTCGAAATTTATTCTGGATAAAAACTTATGTTTGTTTCTAATTAAGAATTTTCAGATATTATTTTTCGACAATTGAAAAATATAATGATTTGAAGTGGATTTATTGAGAGTAAAGAATTATTCTATAGAAATAGATTTTGATTTTGATAGAATATAAATCTGTTGGATGTTTTCAATAAATAAAATTAATCGAATAAATCCTGAAAGATTCTTAAACTTCAGACGAAAGATTTTATTGTTGAGTTCTTTTTTTTTGCTGTAATTAGGAGAAGCTTTTAAAGTTCGATTGAAAATTATTTATGTTTAATTCTTGAAGAATTTTTTCAAATTTTACTCAAATGTATTTATTTTCGTAAAAACAATACTCCATAATTCTAATGAAACGATTGATCGGGTCATATATTCAGAACTTACGATGAAAATGTCCTAATGATTAATTGTTTTGCAGTCAAAACTATATGCATCATAGTCTCTTTAAAAGAGTTGAGACTCTTAGCTTATTGCTGCGGAAATATTGATTTGCACAGAGACAAGCTTTAAAAAAAATAGTTTACTATGGAAGTTTCAGTTCTTTTGACTCACTCCTATCGTAAGACACAACTATAGTAAAAGTGAATGATTTACATCGCTTGGATATACTAGTAGATTTCATTTTCTAATTTCAAAAGACTGTCTCTATGAAAAGTTTCAAGTCAAAGTCGAAAACTAATGTTCCTGAGAACGACCACGACATTGACATGAACAATATCACAAAAATACAATATTTTTGCAGCAACAACCTAATAACTCGAACATTTTCGAAGGTATTCGCAGCTTATTCGAATCTACATGATGCACGTTGTTCTAAAACAATTAATCCATTTGGAAACTTTTCTCGTTAGTACAAGTAGACTAGATTGCATAAAAAATTTTAAATTTCTAACTTTAATCTTTCCAATTTATGAAGCTTTTAAGTAATAGACTCTTTTTCATAGATGGTATATACAGTATGTTTTGTTTTCCCAAGTTTCATAATCTAGATGAACTCAGTTTTGAAATTTTTTTTATGCAACTTAACAGCGAAAACTTATTTAAAAAAAGTTCAACGTCCTCAGAAACAAGTCATAAATACAAACTCATTTTGTTGTAGACAAATGTCTACAAGATGTACTAAGTTTCAACTGAAAATCAAATCAATACCTAAGAATATTTCCTTATAATAAACTTTTAATTCAATATCTAATTTGAATATTTTCTTTTTCATAATCAGTTATCAACTGTTTCGAATACAGCATCATTTTCTTCTCTATTCGATCATCAACAATTTGCTCAATATCCATCAGATTTTACAACAGATACATATCCTATACTTCGAACATTATTATCATATCTTCTTGAACTTCTTATTGAAATTGGTCATGATCAAAGTGAATTACATATGAATGATAATCAACAACGTCTTGTACAATATTTATCTATATTAATACATTTTACACGTCATACACCAGAAAAATGTTTATTAGCTGAAAATGATTATTTACATTCATTATGTTCATTAATATCACATCCAAAATTAACTGAAGATCATACAATAAATAATGGTAATAAATTATTAATATTTATTTTATTACAACAATTATTAACTGAAAAAATCTTTTTAACTAATATATTAAATTATGAACATGATTTTAAACAACAATTACCAATGTGTTTAATTATAGTTGATCATGAAGATCAAGAATTAATATTATATAATCGTTTATTTTTATTTATTTATTATAATATATTAAAACAATTTTGTCAATATTCATGGTTATATTGTAAAGAATTAGCATTACATAAAAATATGTCATGGGCATTAAAAAATGTTTTACCATATGTACAATTATATCCTGATGCATGTGAACAATTATCATCAATATGTAAAATTATATCACATACAAATCGTGATAATCTTTCAAATGAAGATCAACAAATAATTCAAGAATTTAAAAAAGATTTATATATATTAATTTATCGTTTTAATGATATACGTTCATCATGGACAATTATACTTGATTTAACACGTGATATGTGTGATTTACAAGCATCACATGATGAACGTTTACAAATATTAAATCGTCGTGGTTTACCTGTATTAACAACAATATTTTTTACAATATTTTCATTATATCATGATCAAACACATCCACAAATATTAACTATACAAAATGATTTAATTTATTTATTATGTTTAATTGCTAATTTACTTGATACAGCCGATATAAATATAAAAAAACCACAAACAAATTCAACAATAAATATGCGTAATATTGTTGGTACACAATGGAAAGAAAAAATGGAATTAGTTGGAAAATTACTTTTATTACTTAATTCATATAATTCAAGTGAAATACGACAACGTTCTGTTGAATTATTAAAAAAAATTATTGTACAATTAACTATACAAGATTTAACACATGTAGCTTTACATGTTAAAACAACACATGAACAAGCAGCTGCACAACCACATCCACAACTTGGACCATGTAAGAAAAAACTTGAATATAAACTAAAGAAAATTGAATATAAATTTTGTTTTGTTTTTGTTTTTGTTTTTAAAGATTTTCCACGAAGAAAACAACTAATAAATAATTCACAGCAGCAACAACAACAACAACAACAAGGTAATTTTATTGAATAGTTGCTCAAATGAAGACATTAGAAAAAAGATGTTTTGTTTTTTGATTTATTGATCAGCCTGATATTGTCATTATTATGAACAATACTATTTATAAGTACGAATCGATTAGGCTAATAATTAAAGACAAATAGCTGTTACAACTTTGTTCAGGACCATTTCATTGCTGGTCGTACTGAAGTTTGCGCATCATTTTTTGTGGATATGTATCGAACATTAATTTCTTTCAAGATTAAAATTTTCATTAGTATATTTATATGAAAATATGCATAATTTTCATATTCGTCAGCTGACACTTTAAAATTGTTCTCATTTTTTTTTCTGCTCAAAAAAGTCTTCTTATTAAAATTTATAAAAACAATTCTTATACAATAGAAGATTTTTCTAAATATTTATATTCTTGATCTTCTATTTGTATGAAAATAGAACTCAAACCATTCTCTTCATTGTTCAAATTTGTCTTTAAGGAACAATCGATCGTATTGGTAATCAATCTGTTCATACTCCATTTCGACCACATTTTGGCATGTATTTCAAAACTCAATTACTTGAAACATCTAAAGGTCGTGATTTAGGTTTGTTTCTATTAGTTTTTCTTTTTTCCTTTGAAAAAACTTCAAATTTTCTAACATTCTTTAGATTTTGATCGTGCTGTTCATGCATATTATTCACCTTATCATACGTTTATTGATTCCTTAGCACGTTATGCTTATAATCAAAATTCTCTAAATGGTTCTATATTAAGTCTTGTCACACTTGTTGCTTGTGAAGGTGTACAAAGTATGCATTTACATTTATTTGCTAAATTATGTCTTGAAATTTCCAATCAATCAAAAACAAGTGCACAAACCTTAATACACGATTTATTACAAACATCATCATCATATTATTTTCATCATTATATTGAAATTGTATTAATTGATGAACGTATATCATTACATCAAACAGATAATTATTCATTTCTCTTTACATATTTACCAATGATATTAAATATGAAAAAAACTTTGCCAACAGCAGCAGTAGCAGCAGCAACAACAACAACAACAACAACAGCATCAACTGATTCTATACATGCATTCATACAACGTCTTGAACAATTATTAAATAAAACATGTGAACATTGTTTACAATCAATATATAATGAATCACAAACAAATTTAGATTGGTCACAATCATATAAAAAATTATCAAAATCAATTAATTATTCTCATACACAAATTATTGGTGATATTAAAGCATTAGAAATATATTTACATTGTCAATTAATTAATGATAAAAATAAAATTCAAACTGTAATTGAACAAAGTATACGATTTATTGAACAAAATTTGCAATTACAATTATTAATTGATGATGAACAACAACAATTGCAACAACAAGAAAATGAAACAGCAACAACAACAGCAACAACAACAACAATTATTGATGATGAAAGTAATCCAATAAAAAAACGACGTTTAGATGATAATAATTTAGCAATTGATATAACAAATAATGATCCAAAACGTAAAGCTATTATGGATGCATTACAAATTTTACAAACATTTTTGACAAATATGAATAATATAACTAATGAATCAACCACGATTGAACAATAATAGTAGTTATTTCGAACTTTAAAAACAAAAACAAAAACGCGTTGTCTCGTCTTTCATTTACTCTCGCACTTTCTGGTCATTGATCGTTACAACGTGTTAAAGTTTTCGGTTTTTTTTCTTCTCTTTTGTTTTAGCAGCATTGAGTTGTATTATGTGGTGAATTCGCCTATAGAAAACATTCATTTCATAAATATTCTATATATACATATATATATATTTGTTGTTATTGTGCGTATTCCAGACATTGGTTATTTTTCTTTTCTTTTCTTTTTGGGTTCTTTTCTTTTTCTCATACGTTTCATTTTTTTTTGTGTAATTTCAACGAGAAAAAAAAAACTCTTTGCTATTTTCTATGTATATACATGGAAAAGAAAAATTTAACTCAGAAAACATTTCAAACCTATTTATAGATAATATTCTCGATTGGTATTATGGATTCACAAAATTCTGTGGAAAGTAAGAATCAGCTATGTATCACACGTGTGCATAAAAAGCTTATAAATTAATCAAAACAACAAAAGAAATAATATTTTAAATACTTATAATTTCCTTTTTCTTTAGCATTGACTATTGCTCTAATCGATACACTTTCGGATAAGAATGAGAAAGTACGCGATAATGTTGCTCAATCAATTGTTGATACTGGTAAAAAATTACCTCAACCAACAGTAAAATTATGTACGAATTATCTTGATAAACATCAAAAATTACCTGATTCACATCGAGCAGCTATCTTACGTGTTATACAACGTATTCTTAATTATCATCAAGACAAAGAAGGAGGAACACCATTTGATAGTGATACATTTCAATCACTTACTCGTGTTACTATCAATGAATTAACAATGCCAAAAGTTTGTTTCTATACTTCCAAAATTTATTCTTTTTTTTTTGCAATCATTATATATTATATAGGAGTTAATTCCCTTGTGGCAACAAGCTGCTTCTGATGTATTAGTTGAAATTGGCAAATGTGAACCTGATCTTGTTTGTACAGCTCTTTTACCACATATGCAAGCTGGTCAATTACCACAATTTTTTGTTCTACAAACAGTTGGTAGTCTTGCTGAAGCCAATCGTAAGAATATTTCATTTGTAAAATAAACATAATTTATAGCGACAAAATCTTGACAGCAAGTATTCGTTCATTTTTCGGTCGCTTGAAGACAACTATCATCAGATTGTTTTAAAAAGTCCAAAATAGTACTGACTTGTAGAGAATACTCTTTTGGTCAAATTTGTATTTCGATCGTAAATCTATCAAATTCAAAAAGTAAAACAATTTCTAATGGTTCAATTTTGTAGAGCAAAGTTTATTCTTCAAGACGTTCTATTGAAATTGGCATGGCAAATTTTAAAACTTTTGTACTGTAAAAGCATTTTTTGGAAAAATTCTTTTTTTTATCAGTGTTGATTTTCATAGAAACTAGCTCTTTCGTGAAAACGCATAGATGAGATTTTACTTAATGTAATATCTTATTCTGTACAGAACTCAGTGCTCTACATTAACATTCCGTTGAAGCTGTTTCAAAATTCCTACTGTGCTTTGCTCAAACACTATTCCCGGCTTTTTCAAAAAAGTTATTAATAGATGCTCTATCATATCGCAGAAGAAAACTTTGAATATATTCTGGGAAATCGCGCAAACTTCTGTTTGAAACTAGCTGCTTCTGGTTCTAACCAGTTGACTTTTAGTGGCTAAAAAAATGGCGAATATTTCGTGCCAAAACTTTCTCATTATAGTTTAGATAGTATTTTCTTATCTATTTAGCGCGTGGTATGGTTCATCAATTACGTCCAATGTTTAGTCGTATATTACCAATGATGGGCATGATTAAACAAGAGAACTATCGTTGGGTTTATACAGCAGTACTTTATAAATTTTGTTTGGCTTTAATTGATTTTCAAGCTAATGGTGACGAAGCAGCACGTGCAACATTTGCTCCACAACAATTTGAAAATGATGCATTTGCGGCATATGAAGTTTTTCTTACATCAGCTTGGATTGGATCCAAAGAAATTAAAGTATAAGAAAAAAAAAAAGATTTCAATTCAAATACTTTGATTCTTTTATTTTTCCAAATTGAAAGGTTCGAAATATATGTGTACAAGCTATTGGTCGTCTTGTTTATTTATTTTCTTCATCAAAATTTACAGAACAATTTCCACGTTTAATACAAAATGTACTTGGTTTTTATCGAAAAACTGTTGATCATTTATATGTTAGTGAAACATTAAATTCTGTTGTATTATTGGCTCATCAATGGAATGTACCACAATTAAAACAGTCAATGGATATTATTCTAAGAGAAGTTTTAAATGAGGTAAAATGATAATAAGCTAATTCTATTTGAATTAAATAATTGATTTTCTTTTATAGATTCAAATTAATTATGATACATTTGAAAGTGGTAATGAACATGCTATTAAAAATCAAAATGAATTATTACGAACATTATCAATACTAGGTACGAGAACAAAAAATAAAATAAAAATAGAAGTTTTTATCATTTTATTTTAGGTAAACATGCACCACAAGCAATATGGCCTTGGTTATTACAACGTATGGAGCAAGCTGGTACTAATGATAAAGCGCGTATTGTACTTCTTGTTATTTATCGTCATCTTGTTTATGCCTTTGGTAATGATGCACCATCAACGCCATTTGATTATAAATCATTACTTGTATCAAGTTTAAGACCAACATTAAATACAGCAACATTGAAAGTTTGTGTTTTTTTGTTTTTTAACACTTTTTGTATTTGGTTTTATTTAGATTACAAAATATTTATCACAATTAATTGTTGCTATGGCTTGTCATGGTTATTTACAATTAGAAGGACGAACATTTTTAATTGAATATATTGTTCGAAATTGTACATATCCTCTAACAACTCATGAAGATAATAAAACAGATTCATCAATAACAACAACACCCAATGCTGATGTTAGAATAATGTGTCGAAATATTTTAAATGCTTTTAGTTCGACTATTGCAGGAATGGATGAAGTAAACAATTTGAAATTTATTGAAATTTTTCATTAAGAATATTTTGTTTTCTTTTTTTTCTATTAAAGGTTTTATGGCCATTATTAATGGAATTTCTCATACCAGAAATGTATACTGGTGCATTTGGAATAATTACTAAAGCATTAGCACAATCTGGTCAACAACAAATAACAGCAAAAAAAGATACATTTTGGGTTGATTTTGAACTTTTAGCTAATTTACCAAAACCAAATGACATTATTACACGATGTTTTGTATGTATAACAATATATTCTCATTTGTTCTGTTCGTTTTTCTTTTTCTCTACTAATTAGTTATTTTGTTTTTTTTTTAATAGGTTCTTTTGGGTGAACCATTAGTTGAAGAAACACGTGGTATATCAATACTTAATTTTCTTCGTATAGCTGTAACAGAACTTAAAACGGAATTAAGAGAATTATGGGAAAAGGTTATTCCACGTTTACTTCAAAATTTAAATGATGATGATGAAAATAAAAAATTTGATTCAGCAAATTGGCAAGATCTTATGCTTAAAGTATTTATACATTTTGTTCTATTTTTGTACACATTAAATAAAAAAAAAACAATAATTTTTATTTAGTTTCTTTCAAAAACGCTTGATGTCGTTGAACAAGAAGATTGGATTAGTGATATAGGTGCTTGTTTTGTTAAACAATTACCTTTATATATAAAATTAGAACATGAACGTGGTTTTGCTTATAAATGTATTGGTATTGTATTACGTAAATCAAAAAGAAATGAATTTGTTACTCGTACACTTGAATCTATGATGACAGTTATTAATTTTCAACATGAACATGAACGAAATGGCTGGGCAACAATGTTTGGATTTTGTTCAACAACACATCTTGATATTGTATTACAACGACTTGATATGTATTTAAAAATCGGTGATTCAAAAAGTTCAAGTTCAACATCAAGTGGAAGTAGTGGTCTTTTTGGTTTTCTTAGTTCAAAAACTGACACACATTCTGATTTATTACGTGCAACAACTCTTTTAGCTTATGCTTATGTTTCAATATATGCAACACTTGATTTAATTATTTCTCGTATGGAAACAAGTATACTTATTAATGCTGTTAAAATAGCTCGAACAATCAAAGACGAAACAGGAAAATTAATTGTTGCAAAATCATTTGTTATTCTTGCCCAATCAATGAATAAAAATCATTTGAAAACTGATTTTGTTTTTGCATCACGAAATGATCTTACACAAGAAATGAATAATTATATTACACAAGAAACAAATGTTAAATTACAACCAACAACATTTAATCAATGTGTCCGAGCATGTCATGCACTTATGTAAAGAGAAAGAAAAAATAAATAAATAACTTTGTAATAATCATTGAATTGATTTATTATTTTAGTATTCTTCAACCAGAACCAATACTTCCTGAAAAATATCAATTAGCTCGAGCTATGTTGCATTGGTACTGTTCGACAAAACTTGTAAGTATTTTTGAGATTTTATTTTATTAGGATCATAAAATGTTTTATAATTTAGGAACTTTCATCAAGTCAAAAAGACGAAATTTCTGCATCACTTGGTGCACTCATTATTGAATTGCTTAATTTGGGTGATTCATCTGAAACATTTCCTAGTCTTATTAATGTAAGAGAAACAACAAATATTTGAAGATTTTTTTTTATTGTGTGAAAGAAAACTACTATAGTTTTTTGATGAATTGATCCATATAATATCAAAATTAGGAATGATTATATTAGAAAAGAAAACAAAATGTTTTATATTTGAAAAAAAATTATTATCTCTCTCTCCTATTTAGCTTCTTGAACCTTTTTGTCTATCACTCCAAGTCTATGAGCGTGCACGTGCTTTTGATATTCTTAATCAACTTATTCAATCAGATCCAATGAATAAATTGAAAGAACAGGTATTTTAAAGAATATTTGAAAAGTATTCATTTTATTAATTACAAAAACAGAATCTGATAGATGTTGGGGGTATTATGGCTCTTTGTCTTATGTATTTAACTGATACAGAATCATCAATTGAATTAGCAACAAATGCAAGTCTTACTAGATTATTACATCTTCAAACGCAACTTGCAACCGGTGACTTTTTGACTAATGATATTCATAAAATTCATTGTTTATTTATTGAAGGTGTCATGGAAAATTCAAATGGTGAACAGAGTGCTGTTGAGCAAGATAAATCAGCAAATGATGATACTATACAAGTGAGTATATTATTCTCATCAAAAATGGTTATATTTATTTAAAAATGATCTATAAACAGTACTATAATCTCACTAGAACTGTCGAAGAGCATGATCAGGTACTATTTTGTCACCTATCTCGTGGTTTACCCTTATGAATTGCTTCCCTTCGACTGCATCTATTTTTCTTAGCTTGACTTCTTTAGTTAATAAACAATTGTAATGGAATGTATTAATATAACTAACCCCAATAGAATTTCTATTAGTATAAACCACTTGCATTCAAACATTGCTGTTTATCCGATCAAATCGACTTGAAGATTAATAACTACAATGTATGCTTTTTCTTTAAATTTGTATAGAGTTTATCGGGTAATATTGAACCACGTTGTCTTTTATCGTTTATCGAAAAAGCTACTGAAATTATTGCTGATACACGAGCAGTGGGCTCAGTCGTGGTATGCAATGTTCTTTGTAAAATATTTGATTGTCGACATGGTGAATTAGCTGATCAAGTAATGAATTATTCTTTATATTTCATAATTTTGCTAGTGTTCATTTTCTTATTATCATTTTTATCTAGATCGATTACATCTTCAGTATTATGCTTAATAAATATAATCAAATTACCAATGAGGATGTCTTACGAGCATTACGAGGTACCTTCAAACAACTTAGTTTGTCATGTTCAACTCGTGTATTTAGTACATTGATGAATTTCGGTGTACCATTCACCAAGTAAATCATTTTGAAAAATAATGCTGCATTCAATTACCTATTTGCTTTATAGAAATCTTGTGACTATTATTCATGATCTCGCCGATAATCGACCATTGACTGAAGCTGTTATAGCACAAATAATGGAATGTTGGTCACGTTCACTACCCTATGAAGAAAAAGGTTCACAACGACATGCTACTGCTCAACCACTTATGGCTTTATATTTGCTCAATGAATGGTTTCAATCAGATCGAATGTGTGATCTTGGTGAATATGCTTTTCCACGTTTGTTCGTTGCTCTCTTCATACGTATGGCTTCACATGTTGATACACTACCACCACAAAATGTACCACCATTACGTCGTATTGCACCACCTAATGGTAGTTCTCGACGCGATTCAACAGCAAGTAATGCCAGTAACGTTTTCGTGTCTAATGCAACAGCTACAAATACAAAAAAATCATCATCACGTCTAAGTATATTTGATTCAAAATCGTCTCGTACTTCATCTAAAACATTATCTGCTTCTGAACAACAACAAAATACTGCTGGACCTTCAAATAATGAATTAAAAAAAATTGAACCATGGCGTTTATCAAAAGATTGTATGATGCATTTTCTGAAAGTTTATAAATGTCAATCAGAAATTAATGATGTAGTGCCTTGGGAAAAGATGAATAAATTTGATACAGCTGATTCAGCTCTTGAAGCACTTGCTCAAGGTCTAGCACGTTGTAATCATATAAATCAAAAACAATTAAATGTTATTATTGAATTACTTGGTCAAGTGCTTGATGGTCCTTATGATATTCAACGTGTATGTGTATCAGCATTTTTTGCCGAACTTATACGATGTAATCCTGATGATAGTGAAGATCAACGTTTTGTTCGTGAACTTATTCGGTATCTATTGGGACGTTTAGTGGATCATAATATTTATGTAAGGAAATTTTGTTTACGTGGTCTTGGTTGGTGGCGACCAGTTCGTGATAGTCCAGAAGATAAAGGTTTACCAACCACTATTCTGGCATCATTAAGTAGGACTTCTACATATATATTAAACATCTATTAACAAAAATATAAGCTTTGATTTAATTTCTTTTTAGTTTCTGGTTTGGATGATCGTGATGATAAAAATGATCTTCTTACACTTGAAGCAATGTGTTCATTATCAAATGTAATTGCTGTTATGAATGAAGATGAAGTGCGACCTATTCTTATGAATGTTCTTCTACGTATTCGACCTTGTTTTGAAAAAGTAAGAGTATTTTGTTTTATATACATATCTGTTTATTTTTTCACAATTTATAGGATGAAGCAAAAGTACGCTCAGCAGCATTTACATTATTTGGAAAAATGGCTTCGGTATGTGAAGGAAGCTCACGTGAAGCATTTGTTGAACAAATATTTTCATCTTTAATAACATTAACACTTCATTTAAATGATCCAGTTGAAACAGTACGTGAAAGTTGTAAAACATGTTTTCAATCTATTGCACCATTACTGGATCAACCAACATTAGTCGAATTATTTAAAGAAACTCTTCAACCAAAAACCACTCTTCAATATACAGAATTTATAAGTGATTTTGCCAAAATTTTAGTTCAACAATATCCTTATAAAGTTAATTTTTTTATTATGAATTGTATAATCTTTTTCAAAAATCCTGTACCAGAATTACGTGCTAATGCAGCAATTGTAGCTGGTTATTTAATATTTAATTTAACTGAAGAACAAATTAATAATTTATCCAAAGAACATATTTTAAATGGTAAATAGTTCTAGGCTTTTTTAATTTCAAATAGAAAACAAAATGTAATGTTGTTTTCTTTTTTTTTCGTAGCGTTTCTTGTTCTATTAAAAGATTCAAATCCTGATGTACGTTGCCGAGTTGCTGAAGCAATGCATTTTATGTATAAATTCTAACACATAGAAACCAATGAAACCGACCGAATACTTTTATTTTAACATGCTCTTAGTGATTGTCTTTCATATTAGTAATTTTTATTTTATGTTTGGACGAAGCAATTTCTTTTGTTGTGTGTGTGTGAGTGTACAATTATATTTTCTACTTATTGATAATCGTTAGTTTCAAGGGTACTTCCATCTTCGATTTTTCAGATAAAAGTGTTTTGGTTCAACAGTTTATGGATTAAAAATATGAAACATAATTTAGAAAAATTCTTTTTATTGTAATTATATATATTTTAATTCTTTTTTATAAAAATATATTATATGAAAAAGAAAACAATCTTTGTTTTATTTTATATTTTTAATCAAAATTCGAATATGTTCTTGCGTTTTTTGCCAATATTTATTTTAGATTTTATTCTCTTATCATTATGAGTTCCCGATATCCGGGGTTCGGTAGTAGAAATGATGATAATGAAAATAATGAAAATTTTGTTACTATTGGTACTCATTTTGATCCAGCTGAACCAACTAATAGTACATCGATTTTGGCTACTTTAGGTAAATAGAGAAAGATATTCGATTAAAGTAATTAAAGATTTCTTTTCTTTTCTCAGGCAGAAAAGCATCGAAACTTGTTGATCTTTCTTCATCAAATTATGGCTATGATGGAAAACGTTTTCATGGTGCATTTACTGGTGGTTTTAATGCTGGTTTTTATAATACAGTTGGATCAATTGAAGGTTTGATGAATAATGTTTAAGATAGGTCATTGATAGGTTGAAATTTATAGGTTGGCGACCAAGTGAATTTAAATCATCGCGAACAGAACGAGCTGAAAAACGTAGTTATGAACCAGAAGATTTTATGGATAAAGGAGTAAGTATTATGAGATAATTTCAATGAAAAAAAAATTTTCTGTTTAATTCATAGGATTTTAGTGAACATGGTATTAATCCAAAACAAATTAAAATTCGAAACATGTTTGATCAAAATGAATCTGTGACACGTAGCGTAAATAAACAACCACCTGGAACATCAAGTCAACGTACTAATGAAGATATATTACGTGATATGATTCGAGTCAAAACGTAAGTTTCGTCTTTTCTTTTTCTAAAAAGATTTTCTAATTAAAATTCATATAGATTATCTATTGGTAAAAAAATACTCATGAGTATGGGTTGGAAACCAGGAGAAGGTGTAGGTGTTAAAATGTCTCGCAAACATCGACAAAAGTTAAAATGGTCATTAACACAAGAAACACCAAAAGATCTTCCTCCATCACCGCCAAAATCGGAACAACAACAACAACAAGAACAAACACCTGGTGTTAAAGTTTATGGTGTAGCAATGCCACCACCATCGTTTCAACAAACAATTACGAAAACATCACGTTTAGATGATGATGATAATGATAACGATGATGATTTAGATGATCAAATTGTATGAGTTTTTTTTATGTATTCAATAATCTGTTATTCTTGTTTTGTTTAGTATGCTAATGTTAGTTTACCTCCATTAGATTATGAAGTACATTTTCAATTACAAAAACGTGAACATCATGGTCTGGGTTATAAAGGACTTGAATCATTAAATTTATTTGGTCATAATAATTTATTTGTTCAACCATCAATTGAAAAACAAATTAGTAATGTTAAAATTCGTGGTCAAGTAAATTGATTTAATATTAATAATTTATTTTTTTAATGATAATATTTTTCTTTTTCAAGGCATTTGGTGTTGGTATTGAAGAAGATGAAGATGATAGAGATTTATTTGCTGAAGATGATCTCAAACAATATGATTATGAATTAACAACAGCTAATGATAATACTACAGATATTATGCGAAAAAAAACACAAGAAAATAATTTTGTATTGAAATTTGCTCGTTATGAATCTATGTCAATGCCTGTTGTTTGTCCACCACCTATTATACCAATAGATTTTCGTATTGGACATCATTTTCCTAAATCAGCAATGCCACCACCTCCTCCTCCTCCACCTCCAGAAACTTCTACTAATGAAACATCAAAAAATGAATCACCGAAACCACCATCAATTAAACACGATGCTAATACCCGTGGTCTTCTTCTTGGTGATCTTTCGTTTCTCTCTCGTCCGCCACCAAATATGAGTGTTCCGCCATCAAATATAAGTGCACCACCACCACCACCACCACAAAAAGTAGAAGTAACAACAGTAAAACCAACAACCATTCCAACACCATCACTTGAATGGGATGTTGAAAAAGAACGTTCATCACATACAACTTCTGCATCAACAAACACTGCTCGAACTCAATTTCTGGATGCTATTAAAAACCGATTTACATCATCATCTGATCTAGTACAAATGACTGAACGTCAGTCGTTGGAAGTTGCTCTTGAAGTAACTAAAATCTTTTGTTTTTATTACCAATTATACTTGGAATATTATAGAGTGATTTAAAAAAAGCTGTTTCAATGAATCTATACGGTGATTTAACTCGATCTATATCTGATTGGAAACCAAATCCATTATTATGTAAACGTATGAATGTTCCGAATCCATATTCAGAGTAAGTTTATCCATTAAAAATTAAAAAAAAAAAACAAATAAATATTATCATAATGAATTATTTTAGTGATGCATATGATGATTCAAAAGAATCGAAAAAATCTCGACGACAATTATGTTCGAATCTATTTGAACATCTTTTTACACAATCATCTACAGAGGCCTTAACAACTTCTGAACAATCTTCATCAATTATAACACCACCGCTACCATCGTCATCATCATCAGTATCGAATTCAAAGTCAAATGAAACAATTATATCATCATCAATAATCAAACCAATTATTCCATCAGTACAACCTTCTTCAGTACCTAAAGCAGAATTTGCTTCTATTGAATCATTTGAACAAGTAAATAATTTAAATAGGTTCTTTTTCTAAAGAATTTATCTTTGAATTGTTTTCTTTTTCAGGAAAATCAAGAACGTCCTCCATTGGATTTCTTTTCAGCAATCTTCGACAATCAACCTTCTGATGACGACGATGCTGATGAACAAGAAACAGAAGACAAAAAGAATGATGCTATACAGAAACCAATTAATCCACAAAATTCTATTGTATCAAATCCTTCTATTACAATACGATTAGCATCATCAATAAAATATCAAAGTGATCACTCAAATAGTTCTGATTCTAGTATTGAAGAAATTGAAGTTTCAGGTACACTATAAATATTACTTTTTCTTTTGTCTATTTTCTTTTTACTGTATAAATTATTAGATAAATCATCTCTTGTTTATGGACCAGCTATTCCCAGTAATATTCCATCTCGTTCTAAGATAGATAATGATAATTCAAGTAAGGCGTACACATTTATATACTTTGTAATTGTTTTCTTTTTCTAGTATGGACAAAATTGGCAAATTCAAGTGCACAATACGAAGAATTAAAACATAAGAAAAAACATAAGAAAAAGAAAAAACATCATAAAAAGGTTTGATTTATTTTCATCATAAATTAATAATTAATTATTTTATTTTTTCTAGAGTAAAAAACATCATCATCATTAATATGTATTTTTTCTGTAAATATTTTACATAAAAAAAAAAATAAAATAAAACAAGAACTACCAGTTCCCAATATTTTTAAGAACAAAAATCTATTAGTAAAAATAAAATATTATTAGTTGAATTGACTTGTATCATTTAATTATAATGATTATATGAGCAGAAAAGGATGATTATGTGTTTTGTTGTATAATAAAACACGAGGTTTTCTCAATAACATGTATAATAACAAAGTATTATTATTCAAGCAATGCTAACTGTACAATAACCATTCAAAATTGATATGAGATTGAAAGTATCATTTGACATATGCATACTAATTGTGTAAAAAAAACCGTTCAAAGTTCAATATGTCTAATGAATATTAGCTGATCTTTATATCGTTTTTAGTTTATTTTAGCTCTCATGTAAACTCAGATTAGAAGTGACTTTGTTTCTTGTTTCAACAGATTTGATAGATTTATGTAGAGTACCAAAAGTTTTATACGCACGTCAAAACGTTTCATTGTCGTCGGTGGCATATAGTAACATTTTCATACTGAAACAGACTTACGCAAAGTTTTTAAAGAAGAAGGATACTAATGTTATACAGTATAAAATGTGAATTGCAAATAAGATGTATTAACTGCCTATCATCTGGATGATATAAAAAGATTTGTTCTCCTCCTCTCTATTCTTAAATTCCTAGTCAGGATCTTATAAAAACCTAACAGTGGTTCTACAGGACGTGTGAGAAGGCTCAACTTCTACCGCTGGTCAAAAATCTATACAATGAACTTATCAAGTAAATAAAAAAAAAACATGATCATGAGATTGTTTAGAAAAAATAGCGCGCTACGTCGCAAAAATCCAATCAATATCTAATTTATATTAAAAAAAACCATCATCAATTCATATGATGCATTCAACTGAATCATCAAATAAATTTTTTCATGACATTACGAATCCATTTGAACGACGTCAATTTGCTTTTCAAGTTCTTCCCGAAGAAAAAGATCCAATGAGTCGAGCAAAAAATTATTCATTTATAATGCCTACATTAAAAATTCGTCTTCAACAATTAATAACTACATATTTATGGGAATATATTATGTTCATTTTATCTATTTGGTCATTTATTTCTTTATTAATTGGACATAAAATACCAGAACTGAGAATATTTTTCGAACTTACTCATGAAATTACTCAAGGTTTGCGAAATTTTTCATCTATAAAAATCATTAATAAATACTTGAATATTTTAGCGGCCCTATTTATTGAAGTATTTTGTAAATTATATATTGACTGTCGTTGGTTTTTTTACGATATTTGGAATTTTTATGATCTCATATGTGTAATTGTTAATTCACCAGTTAGTCATATATCTATTTCATAAAAAAAAAATCTTTTCGGTATCTTTTTATTTAATTTATTAGTTTATCTATAATCTTTTTGTATCTGATCATCTTGGTGTACCACAAATCAATAGTATTCAACGACTTTTTCGTACATTACATGCTGTTCGTTTAATACGTATTCATAATATTTTACGATGTGTTCTCGAAACAATTCTTATTGCTTTATCTAGTATCTATAATACATTATTATTAGAATTTGTTATTGTGACAGTTTTTGCATTACTTTCAATAGCTTTTGAAGGTGATACACCATTTTTGGATTCAGATACATATGAACCTTATGAAAATTACACTGAAGCTCTTTATTCATATTATATGTGTATTACATTGGAAGGTGTGAATGAAGTAGCTGAACAAATTTTAGAATTAGATTCACCACAATTTACTACTGCTATTGGATTAATTTTTTATATATTTGCTGCTTTAGTTACATATAGTGTAGGACAACTTCTAGCAGGTATTAAGAAAAGCAAGAGTCTTACTTTATTTTTATTGCTCTTGATAAAAAAGAATAAATATAAAAGCAAAATCTTTAGAGTTATAAAATATTTTTTTTCTGAAAACCTACTATTTGATTGTTACAAGGTAATTCATAACAACTATCATCCATCGTAGTGATGCTGGCGATAAGAGAGAACATTGATTAACGTATCCTTTTGTTACAGTAGGTATTTTATCTATTTACCCATAATAAAAAGAAATCTTTCTTTATTATTTATTTAATAAATATAAAGATTTTGCTTATAATATTTATCATACGAAGTCTAGATAAAGTAACACCCCTATTCACTCGACAAGAAAAGATAATTTTTGGTATCTAACTTTCTCCCATTACTCTTTCGTAGTCATGACCAGAGAAGGCATGTTGGTGTTAAAGAAAAGTTCCGAAACATCAATATTTTGAGACAATAAATTCACTCTTAAAGAATAAAATTTGTTTTGGTTTCTTTAGCTGTTATTGCTACAACTCTTGGTAAAGCAATTGATCAAATAAAACGTGATAAAACTTCAACAACTAGTAAACATCATAATATGAAACTTCTTAGATTACAAAGTCCATCAATAAAGGACAAGAAGAGATCAAAATCTCGTTGTAGCAATATTGATGAAATTCAAAATTTTTCACAATTAAAACCTGATGACCTTGCTTTATTGATAATACTTTTTCAAACTCTTGATAAAAATATAAATGAGCATGATAATATCTTACGTGATGTTCGTCATATTGGTGAATATATCTCAAAATCTAATAAGAAAAAAACTTCATTTACAACGAATTAAATAATTTATAATTATTTCTTTAACGATATCGGTTAAAAATAATGATGTAATTTTACATATAACTTAATAATATTTTATTGAAACAAGATCTTATGAAGCATATACCGAATCCAAACTTATATTCGAAAGATATTCGACTAGTTCAGATAGTATTATGTTTTCAGGTAATTCGCCAAGCGTTTCTTGAGCTATATGGGCGGTGATGGAAGCATTTGCATTATTCGATACATATCCACAAAGTACCATGTTCAAATATTATTCTCATCAATCATGGAATGATTTTAGATAAGTCACTAACAGTTGTCTCGAAGCAATCATCCGATAGCATGCTGACTGGGTTGTGACATACACTTGCTTTCGTGGGTAATATATGCTTACTTAGTGTGTACGAGGAGATATTGGACTACTGAATCTGCTAAGAGGCAACAACTTAAGCCATACGGTAGCCGAAAAACAGGAATATTCTTCATCTGTCTTGTTTCTTTAAGAATGTCCGTGTCTTTTCAGCTTTGAAATCGTTTTTTTTAATGTACGTAGAGTTATCATATCCAACTTTATCGTCTATTCTTTTGGCTTATTTTTATTCCATTTTATTAATTAATTGAGAATGACTCTGAACTCAAGACCGACTCCAAACAATTGAAGCCCAGTGCATGCCTATTTTAAATCGAATCCTACATCATCTAACCGTTATTTATATCATATTCAAATCAATAAAAAGAAAAAATAAAAAATGTTTTTGAAAAAAAAATTAATTCTTCAACAACATCGAATAAAAACAAACGTTATCTTCTTTATAATGAATCAAGATTAAAAAAATTCAAAAATAAAAACAAAAAAAAAATTTATGATTTATCTCTTTTTTTAATAATCAAATGTATAAAAATAAATCTAAAGTTTAAAACTTCGAATTTCTCATTGAATTAAAGGTTCATTCTCATCATCATCATCATCTTCTAAGAAACGTTCAACTGTAAATTCTTGAATATTTGATTCACGATTACGAACTATTTTCACTATACAACTTACCAAGAAAACCTAAACAAAACAAAATAAGATATTGCATACAATAGAATTTACTTACAATAAGAAATAACCAACTAAGAAAAAAGTAAACAGCTCCAAAAAACCAAACTTTATAGAAAAATCGAAGTATTATGCGACCCATTACGGTCATTTCACATTGATCTAAAAGATACCAAAAAAAAGCAAATTAGAAAATCAAATAAATAGAAGTTATACCTGTTGTAACATATTGCGTACATGGTTGAGCAGTCACTGTTGAGTTCTAAATATATAAAACGGTTTCAAACACGAACCAAATCAAACTCTATTTCACATTCACAAAAATAAGACTATTCTAGCTTAAATCGTACGGAGAAGTTGCATTTTAAATGATAAACAATCTAACAGATTTCGAAAAGCTTGATAATTAAATAAAATTTTCATATTATGTTTATAAGTTTTTCGAAATTATAATAGAACGTAAACGTTATACAGAATACCAATGGCTATTTAAGTGAGTTTTTCAACAAAATTATCAATTGATTTAATTGATTGTAAGAAAGTAGAATTTTTCTAATCTCATAAAGAACTTCTCCATTGTGAAAAAACTTTAAACACAATTGTCGATTTGAAAGATGATTGGAATGAAACTACGGTAGTTTGTTAAAAAACCAACTAGAATATCATAACTGAAGAAGAACGATTTATTCAGATTACTATACTTTACTTAGAATGTAAATAATAAAAATATCTAACAAATAGAATTCTTCATGTATCAGTCATTAATTCATTTTATATTTTGGCTATGAATAGAATTCTATGCTGCTAATAATAAATTTAAAACAGTTCAGTCTCATAGCTCTCCCATGTTGACATGTGACTTCGTTCATTTTAATGATCTCGAATCAAAGAAACATTGAATAGCAGTCAACTCATATCTACAACATAGAGTCAAATCTTTCATAAATATCCATGATCCATAAATGATACATTTTATAGATAAACTTGAGTAATATATGAGTTGTCGGTATTTAACAACCAATTTAAAAATGGTTAAAAGCTTTCTATTTAGATATTTGGTCTATCTATGAAATTTATATGAAACTCGAAAGTTCTTGTTGTATTCCAATTCAGCATATTTTCACTATAAAAAATGCACTTTAACTATCAGAATAATTTCATATGAATATATAAACCATTGCATACATTTACTACTAAAGCATAATTTTGATCACCATAAATTGAATATTGAGGTATAAGAAGATAAACAAACGCATTGATTGCTACAACAATAAACATCATTAATGATGAAAGCATTAA